CAAGTAGACATTGTGTTATGCAATGTCCTGTACACAAAGATGTATTTACTGTCATCCTGCCGTGAGTGCAAAACAGAAGCTAGCCAGGTACGTGGACGGGGCAGTTTTAGACTTTGGAGGAAAGAAAACTATAGCTTGTCCTGGGTAGAATTTGCATAGAGGCTGGTTTGCATGAACTGATGAAATTTGAATCACATCATCATCATCACAGGGTTCTGCAACAAAACACGAACATCATAGCTGTATGCCGTGGGTTATCATGTTCTCAGAGAAGGTGGTAATACTTTACCTGGAAGATGTGTTGCTCTGATATGATCATGTCACTGGAGGCTGCTTTTTAAACAAGTCTGCCCTTACTCAAGCATGCTGAGACGCTTTTTACGCAAGCCAGAGAATCTTCTTAATGAAGGAATGCTTTGTGCCCCATAAACCAAGAACGTCAGACAGATACAGATCATCTGTTAATAACCAGGTGCTGGGCTATTTCTTTTCAATGTTTCTATTCACCTTCTGCACCACCTTATTAGGTACTGCATGTCATTCATATAACCATGATGTCAGAGGCGGACAAGTCTATGAACTGTCTGCTTTGTGAACTGCATGATAAAGCTCAGTCTGAAATGGAAACAAGTGTAGACTTTGCATTATTAGTGCGAGACTGATTAGTCATAGAGCCCCTCGGTGAGTGAATGTCCCGTCTGCTTTCAACGATGAAACAGAAGCATTCGCCCTGAATCACCTGTCATCCCTGACGCCCATCTCTTTATCAGTCATGTCCCTCAAACTCACTCGTTTTATCATCAAGTAAAGGGTCCTGGACTGGTAAGCTGTTTTGTTTGACGTTTTCTGAACATAAACGACTACGTTAATTTAACACGGTTATTTGGTTACATGTGGCATTAGCATACGCCAGCACTGCATTAAAATAAGCTGCTGTTTTGGATTCAGGGAAGCAACAAAAGAGAAGGAAATGTCATGCTTGTAGCATCAACACACCTTTTGTCTGGTAACCTTGGCTTAACGGTGGAAAACTAGAATTCAAAGAGTTACGATGAGGGGTGTGGGAGTTCTTTTTATCTGGAATTCCAGACATTTTTCTCAGCAACAACGTTAGTAATCTGTTCACACACACACACACACACACAAGCAGCTGACATAATGTAATCCATTAGTTAGCAGTCTTGCTTGTGACTTTGTTGAAACTAAATGGACCTGGAAAAACAGCTGTGAGTTATTGAGGTTTAGATGTTGCCTGAAATGTAGTCCACATACTATACTATCTCTCTAGCCTTGATTTGGTTAATGGTTATTTCTGAGTTAACAACTGTATTATTGATGCAGCTCTGAAACAAAGGAGAGTGTTGTTTTGTTGAGGGGGTGTACTTTGTGAAATTGTGACGTGTATATGTGAAAAGCTATGGCTTGACTGTAATGGAAATGTTGTGCTGGACTATATACTGAACTATGCAACCATGATGTGTAGGTTACAATTCAACAGGTCTGTCCACAGAGCTGTTGAGAAGGAAGTGGGAGGGATGTGTTTTGTAAAACAGATACAAATACGCTGCTTACAAATTACACTTCAAAATGTTTTAAACTATGTAGATATGAAGCAATTATTCCCTCGCTTGAAGTTTTTATTCAGTAAATTAATTCTGAAGCACTGACCGTCTTCACGGCTGAATCTCACTTTTACTTGCACGTTTTAGCGGCTGTTGTTTGCTTTGATCAGTCTGCTATATTGTGCATTTTCCAAATTTTCTCAAGTGTTTAGACAATAGTTTTCACTTACATGTTCAGTAACAGTTAAGACTAATTCAACACCTATCTCTTAACCAACTGGCTATCAGTCCGACGACAGATAAGCAAGGGGCTACATTTCTGGGGTTCCAGGTTTGCCAGCCGATATCTGGGCCAAGTTTGTGTTTCCTTGAGATGCGAGACTGGAGTTGGAGTTGAGAGACGTGACAAGTAGCCAGTTTATAGGCTATTTTTAAAAGAAAAAGCGAAATCACCGTCAGATGATAGCCGGTGTGTTCCGCCTCTTTTGCTCTCTACACAGACCATTTAGCATGCATTTAACCAAAGCCTGCTCAAACTTGATTAGTTAATACAACACTGACTTCAAACGGAAACAAGAACTCTTCCAATACCAACATCTTGTCCCGTTGCCTACAGAGTCTGAATGCACAATCTATTTATAGAAATTAATTCAACGCTGACAGGCGAATTGTAAAAACATGTTCAGAAGGGTATATTTGTGTGCAGATGTTATATTTGACGAGCCAGTTAAGTAGAAAACAGATGGTTTGAACTAGACCGTGCTGCTCACTGCCCCTTGTACGGTGGTTACTTTTTATAGACCTTTCGCTGCAGTTATTGCCAAAACGTCTTTGGCATTTGGGCTTTAAAGGATGAATTCCAAGAACCATTTTTCCTACCAATAAAGTTAATGCTAACAAATGTGGTCTTAAAGCAGCCAGAGAGCTGTGCTTATCTTTGATCAGTCTCAGTCGCTGCGGGGAAAATGTGGCAATACATTTAATTTATTATGTATTGTGTATTCATTTTCCAGATGTTAAGCATCAAGGCAATGGCTTAAACACTGCAAATGCATCAACACTTGTACAGCCAAAACATACAAACAAACTGACACATTGAAATGCAAACTATATACACATATACACAGATCACATTAAAATATAAGATGCTGGCAACAAATAACATGTAAAAACAGCCTAATCATGCTTTCTTTAGGTGGAAACGTGTATACATGTTTTGAAAATGCTAAATTTTATACTGGATACTTAACAGTCCTCCACATCTGACAAGAGGGCGGCACATTGTGGCTACAGATCATTCGGAGATTAGTAATAAATTACATTACATTACAGTCATTTAGCAGACGCTTTTATCCAAAGCGACTCACAATTCAGATTCTATCGCATTCATACACCGTAGGCACAAATAGAGGAGCAATTTTTGGGGTTAAGTGCCTTGCTCAATGACACATCGACATGCAGACTAGCAGAGCCGGGGATCAAACCACCGATCCTCTTATTGAAGGAGTCAAGTGTGTGCTGGAGTCTTAAGATAAGTCAGCGAGTTTACACTACCACTGCAGGAGATATAGTTTTGAATCTGAGCAGTTGTATAATAACTAGAAGAGTGGCGACAGCAGACACATGTTGTTGATTTGTGCTGTTCATTCCCCTCCCTTTAACTTGGCATTGACTGCAGTTTTCAGCACAGCAGCTTTATGATAGGGGGATATTTGCTGTGAGGAAGAGAAGGGAGGAGGAAGTGAGTTTTGCATGCCAGACGCAGCAAAAAGCTCGAAACCAAATGTACAGACAGAAGCGACAAAGGAAGTAGAAGCCTCGAATGTAATTTGTAGTGGCATAGTGAGTGTAATAGCTCACCACTTCACTCCCTTTACACCATCAACCCTGTCATTTGTCAGTGCGTAAACAGAGTTTTTCTTTAGTGGTCAGCTCCCAGTGAGGTTGTGCATGGGAACTGTGCTGTTGGGATGACTCGGCGTGGATTGTGGAGCAAGTTGTGCAGGGGGACGAGACTCTCGTGAGACTGACTCATGGAAAGTTTGAGGATGCCAGAAGGTGCGTGCGTCTGAATGAACTGAAAGGCTTTTTGATTCCTCTTGTGAAGCCCATCATCCAGCTGCATATTGCGTTTTTTTTCAAGACTTCATAAATCACAAACTTCGGGCACTTCCCATGTTCTCATGTGAAATGCTTCTCTTGTTTGACATACTTAATTCCAGGGAGACATGTAAAATACTGTATGTTCTCTATAAAACTGTACATTACATGTAAGATACATCAATTGAGTACGCTTGTTTATCGTGAATCATTTTGGTTGCAGATTGACGAAATACCTTCAACATCATGTTTTTATTATCAGCTATGGGCGGCTGACCAATGATGCTCTAATGATGAACATATTTATGTTACAACTTGTCAACACTGGTGAAAGAGAGTGTATTTCAGGCTACATCTGTTGGCTATCAAAACCAAATGATGCCCTTTATCCCCACGAGGCAATATCATTTAATGTTTTTCTTAATGGTGGTTTGTTCCTCGTAGATTTCCATTTATTAGGCTGAAGCTGAAAGTACGCGACAAAGCTTCATTTCTTTAGCTTGGCAAAATGGTTTTGACCCCATTGCCCTGCAAATATTTATGGAAATGGAGCTCTCTGCACAGTGGCTTCTCAGTGCTCCATTCTCACACCACCATGACTTCATATATTTAGGAAACAGTTGTGAGGGAAAATTCCCCCATATGTCCAGGACGGATGTGAAACTGAATATGGATTCCATGTCTCTTATATTCAAACGTAGTTCAATAAAGACATACAAACAAAGCTGCTGGTCCCATTCCTTGTATTTTTTTTTTCTCTTCCCATCAGTTTCCCCCCTCTCTCTGTTTTTCCAAGGCTCAGCCTTCAGCAGTCAGGAGAACAAGAGGAAATGGCTGGGTTTTCCATAGAACAGGCAGTGTTTGAATTAGGCCATGTCAGTAATGATTTGAGTGAGGCGTTTTACTGTAAACCACTCCTCTGTGTTTCAGTCTGGGAGTAAAAACGCAGAGCTCTGGGCTGTCTTTTATTGATTTGTGACTGGTACTGTGTTCAAAGTCGCAGTTCTATGTATCTGAAGTTGTCCCCAGACAGTGTTTTAATGCAGCCGTTATTTATCCACTTGGTGAGAGAAGTGATCACTAAAAAGGGTTTGAGAGTGAATCTGGTTTATAACAGCGTTACATTACTTAATGTTAACAGCAGATCATTGAATCCCGAGCACACAGTGAAACCCTGATAGTATTTCAGAATACATCAATTTTTAGACGCCCGGGTACGGGGTGGGTGCCAGGTATGCAAAAAAAGTTTCCTCAAAATAGTATAAAACCCAAATATGTTTTTGAAATATGAACCTTCTCAAATCCTGACATACCCTCTGTCTCTCTCACCTGTCCCAGAATCTCCTCAGTTGTCCTCGCCCCTCTCCACCAGTGAACAGGACCGGGCAAACAATGACTTGGGCCCAGAGTACAGCCGGCTATGTGTGGAGCTACTGGACGGAGAAGGTGAACGTCCAGTGAGCCTGGTGTCCACCCTTTCCTCTGGTTCATCCCGTGATAGTCGCAGCCTCTTTGGAAGCACCGCAGCCCTTCCTTCCTCCACCACCCCACCCATACAGAGCGAGGAGGACATAGACCTTGAGCTGAGCCCAGCCGAAAGCACTGGAGATCGGCCAGCGGACCAGAGTCCCACCCTCACGTGCTCCAGGGGCCGCTGGCTGGAACGGCGGGTGATCAGCAACCAGTGGAACAACAACGCCACCTCCTACAGGAAGGCAAGTGGTGGAATACCTCACACCCCCGCCTCGCCTGTCGTCACGCACGCCATGGCGCCCAACCCAAAGCTGACCTATTTGGACCGTGTTGTCATGGAGATCATTGAGACAGAGCGCATGTACGTCAAGGACCTGCGCAGCATCGTGGAGGTGAGTGGATGTCAACGCTGTGCTGACTTTACCGAAATTGAATATTCTGCTACAGTTGGTGTTTTTTTTCCAACTTTTAGCCAAGTATTCACTGTGAGACGACCATTTGAGAGAGTAAATCATCAATGTTCTGTGTGTTTAAAGCGCATGTTTGACTTGGATTAATGTGCAGCTATGACTTCATGTCTGCAGCACTCTTTGGAAGGTGATTTACTGAATTTGTCCAGGGGGAGCCAAAATAGGGGGAATCGGACTCGACTGCCGTTGAGAACAAAGAATACCTGCAGTGTTCCAACTTAAGCAGCTGTTTGTGGCCACAAATGAGTAAAACATCCATGAGATGATTCTTTCCTTTTCATCACAAGGATTCATTGTGAATTCCCGCTTTCTAAACAAATCGCTTTGTTGACAAAAATGCATGCCTCGCATCTGGCAATTGTGTGCTCTGTTTATAGATTTCTAGTTCGTAGAGATGAAGCCTGTGGAGCAGTTCATGATCTGGTCACAGCGTTGTATATAAACCATTCTGTATATTTACAGTGCAGTGAAAGTTTACTGCCTGTAGCCTGGGATTGTGGACTCATATCTGGAGTTCAAACACACAGTCAAAACTGGGACACAGTGCAGGTCTTTCATGACAGAACTCATGGGCTTTGTGCTCCTAGCCAAAGATACCAGGAACCTCATCTCAGAGATGTGAAGGATGAAAAAATAAGCCAGGGATGATTTTACCACTCAACAGATCACTTAAATCTTATCACATTTTCTACTTTTTGTAGTCTGGAAACAACTTCCAGACCAAGAGATCTCTCTGGTCCTCAATCTTTCCTGAGTCCTGCATAGAAACAGGAGCCCTCTCCTGTCAAACAACCTCCACAGAATTTATGGTAATGTCTTTAACATGTGAGGCGTTTCTGAGACTGACTGTAAACCAGCAAGCACATCTCCTCACCTTTTTCTCAGACTGTGCTGGTGTCTGGCAGTTGCCGTGGGAGGGAGTGCTGCTCGAGTAAGGACTTGCTCCTGACAAACACTTCCAGGACTTCTAACTATTTCAGTTAACGGGAGCAGCAGTCCGTCAAAGCAGCCTGCTCTGGCTCCGGTCACGCAGCTCCAGCCTAGGCTGAGCTCTGAGGCCCTCCCAGCCAACACAAACACCCTCCATCTTTGCACCAACTGGAGAAATAACACAGATGAAATGATAATTAGCTTTTATGTATTCTACAGTGTGGGAACACAGTCTAGTACAGATGTGTCCGTTATCCTTTTAAGATAATAGTATGGCTTCCATCAAACTGATTGCATGTTAGCTCATTTTAATTTCACACCGGGCCTTGAATCTGACAGACGTGTGAAACTCCTCATGTTGGCATTGTTTCTTCAGCAAACTAATTCAAAGCTTACACGTGATATTGACACTGAACTCCCGAGCAGCTGTTGGAGCTGTGTCCACTCTGCCTTTAGACCTTGCTCTCAAATCTCACTCTCAACTGTCCATGAGAACAGCTGTTTGACCCAGTTGGTCACATGTCTAAATACAACCTGAACACACAGAATAATCATGCTCAACATTGTTGAAACATGAATGTGGTGATTATGGGATTCAGAAAGACCTAGTCTAACATATGAGTAATATTATTCTTTACTTAATAGGATTTTTGATTTGACCCATGACAGTATTAAAAGGACAAAACAGCCCTTCTTATTCTTTTTTTAAACAACTTTCTATTTTGATTGAACATAAAATTGCACAATCGGAGCATTTATTAAAAGTAACTCTTCTTATTCTTCATTAACGCACCGCTAGTAGCACTGTAAACTAACGTCTACATACAGCACTAAATCTCTCGCACTATACTAAAGGTCACATGTCTGTATTAACTCCGGGGGCGAGTTTTCTATAGGAGACCATGAGACGCCCTGCTGACTGCAAGTCAGCATTGCTCTCATTGCACTGGAATTCTCCATCCATGACCGGCTGCAGTTCATTCACCACTGATGACTCTACTCTTAATCTGGGCTGCCCAGCAGGCCTGCTAAGTGTGTGCGCGTGTGCGCGTGTGCGTGTGTGTGTGCGCGTGTGTGTGTGTGTGCGCGTGTGTGCGCGTGTGTGCGCGTGTGTGCGTGTGTGTGTGCGTGCGCGTATTTGCACCACACTGTCTGGGAGGCTGGGTGTGTGTACAAGCTGTTTACTGGTATGCTCTATAAGTAGTCTGCATGTGTGCGCGTTTGTCTCTCGTCTTCTTACTCCTCCACTTGTTTGGAGTTGTTTGTATGCCACTTGAGTGTGTAATTGACCAAGAGGCAAGATAATCATCCAGATGTTGGCATATTTGGCCACTGTGTTTTTAGATAATTCTTATCTACTTCTGAGTATTCCTGGGGTCCAGGAGAATTTGAAACCAGGAAGGGGAACAGGCTGTGCTGATGTTTATGGTTCAGGTATCACAGAACCTCATCCAGACACACTGGCTTCTGGTCAGTGGAACAAATCCTTAAAAGGATTCTTTCAAGATCACATCAGTTGTATGTGAATTACTGTGATCCTGCTTTTTAAACACAGAAAAGCCTTGAAATTGTAATGCAACACATCTAGATGGTGTGTCAAACATTGTAGCCCAACAACATCTGCAGCAATCAGTTGGTCAAACCAAATGTCATAAAAGGTTCAATGAGGATATAATAGGAACAAAAGGAGAACATAGCTTTTTCTACATAAATGCTCCCTCTATTGGGGAGAATTTGGAAGTGCCTGTGTGACGCTTGGCTTGATATGTCACCAAATACTGACCTTTTTCCATCACATTCCATCTTTTATGTATAACTCCGTCTCTACTGTTTTTCCAGGACTACTTGGCTCACATTATCGATATGAGTAACCTTCCCATTCAGCCAGAGCAAGTGTGTGGTCTGTTTGGAAACATAGAGGACATCTATGAGTTCAACAGGTAAGTCACAAACAAAAAGTATAATCACCATCCAATTTTGTTATGCTGAAATATATCTTACTAAAAATGGTCACAATAATCAAAAGTATAGGATAATCTTTAAAATTGAGGAGTGTTTTTATATAATTTCATATCTACGTAATATGATGAATGTAAGCTTTTGTTTTACTTGCCGTTCACATTTATTTCCCTGACACAAAAGGGATGCAATGAGCAACAAAGGAGCGACACACTGACTCTACACTAAACACACTTTTGCAAACATCAGAACACCGGGGAATTGGTGGTGCTGCTAGCTTCACATTTATGTCAGCGAGTACTTATTGCTGACCACACTGCTTGCCAAAACACACATTAACATTCCTCTCTCTTCTCACATCGAGGAGCCTCCCCCGGTAAGGCCAAGGCTATTGTAACGCTCTGGGCCACAAATGGGGATGATTTGATTCTTATTACTCTCTAATGGAATTCCAACCAGCTGTACAAAACAGATTCTGACAGGTTTTTTAGATCCAAAGGTTCCATGTGTTGCCATTTTCTGGGAACACGGCTTTTCTTCTTGTCACATTGCACTGGGGGGGCCTTGTTTTCTTTAACCTCTTCTACGACACCCCTCTTTACCATAGATCCCTCTTTACCATAGAACCTTTATTTACCATAGACCCCTCTCTACCATAGACCCCTCTTTACGATAGAACCTTTATTTACCATAGACCCCTCTTTACCATAGACCCCTCTTTACCATAGATCCCTCTTTACCATAGAACCTTTATTTACCATAGACCCCTCTTTACCATAGACCCCTCTTTGCCACAGAACCCTCTTTACCATAGAACCCTCTTTACCATAGATCTCTCTTTACCATAGAACCCTCTTTACCATTCATCCCTCTTTACCATAGATCCCTCTCTACCATTCATCCCTCTTTACCATAGACATCTCTTTACCATAGACATCTCTTTACCATAGATCCCTCTTTACCATAGATCCCTCTTTACCATAGACCCTCTTTACCATAGACCCCTCTTTACCATAGAACCTCTTTACCATAGACCCTATTTACCATAGAACCCTATTTACCATAGAACCCTCTTTACCATAGACACCTCTTTACCATATATATTAGAGATGCATCTCAACAGTGCATTGTGTGTCAAGTTGTTCTAGTCATGAATCTGTAATAAACATTGGGTTTTGGTTAGGCACTTGTTCAAATGATGAAATTATTGATTGTATACGGGCTTAGAATGGTATGTTGGAAATATATGATAAATATCCCATGCTCAATTATGTCTCATAAATCGTTGCAGCAATCTTGATTGGGTTGATAGCATTTGTTACACAGCTTTGGTGTTAAATTAAACCATTTTTTACCATTTCAAGAATTGTTGAAAATAGTCTAAAATCCCTCCAAACTACCACATTAAGATAACAACTGCTTGAGGAACACAATAGAAAAATCTATGCTGAGATTTGTTATTAACTGTTGACATTTCTATCTTGGTGTGTCATTAACTTACAATTGACGTGAACAATGTTTCAACAAACGTGTTTTAGTTTCCCAAGCTCTGAATGAAGCTTGTTTTTGATGGGACTGTGGGCATGGACAATTCAAAGTCAAGAATTTCACGCTGAATCTGAGCATGAATCTGAGCATGCATCAAAGTTCATGTTTAACAGTGTATGCTGCCATCTAGTGGAGATTCTTCACAACTGTGTTCAAATCTAAAAATGTATTGCTATGGATTTACTTTGGGGTTACTTCTGTTTTATTTATTCCTTCCCAGACAAAGAAATTACTGAACAAGTCCATTAACTCAACTTTCTCTCTGTTGTGTTCTGCATTTCAGTGAACTGCTGCAGTCCTTAGACATGTGTGAGAATGACCCTGTGGCCATTGCTCGATGCTTTGTAGATAAGGTGAGAGGAACCACTTTGCTCATGCTGATTTACAGTGACATCAGTTTCTCACATAAATAAACACTAGTGATGTGTTTGTCTGACTTTTGTTTCCTCAGAGTGAATACTTTGAAATATACACTCAGTATTGCACCAACTATCCCAAGTAAGTAGCTAAAAAATATTCGTTTTAATTACATCTTTGCTGTAGTATTTTCTTTGAGAGACAAATTGTACATGATTAATATAATTCTCTTTTGTCCTCCAGCTCAGTGGCAGCACTGACCGAATGCATGAGGAGTAAAACTTTGGCCACGTTCTTTGGGGATCGACAGGCTGCTCTGAATCGCTCCCTCCCTCTGGGCTCCTATCTGCTAAAGCCGGTCCAGAGGATCCTGAAGTATCACCTGCTGCTTCAGGTACAGAATGTCCTCCGTAGTCAATTTATTTCTTCAAAATGCATCCTGCAGGCTTTGGTAGATTTGTGGTTCTCTTGTTGTTAACTATTCACTAATAGTTCTCAACCCTGTGTCATTTTAGAACTGCTTATTACGCAGCACGTTGCCTGTGACTGGTAAACAGTTCAATCTTTGATTTGATTAATTATTAAGAACCTTAAGGCTAAAAGATATTTGGTATTTTTTGGTATCAATCAAAAAGATTTATTTGGACATGCATCTTTCTTTGTTTGGGGAAGGATTTCACTAGCTCCCTGTAGGGCTGACATCGTGATAAATTGTAACTGTCCCTAATCTCTTGTGAAGGAAATTGCGAAGCACTTTGACTCGGACGAGGAGGGCTATGAGGTCATTCAGGAGGCCATAGACACCATGACCGGCGTGGCCTGGTACATCAACGATATGAAGAGGAAACATGAACATGCTGTCAGAGTGCAGGTCAGAATGAAATACCATGCATGTATGCAACATCCTCTTGAAAAGGTACATTTATGTCATTGCCACGCAGTGCTTTCAGAGAGTAAAACGTGTACTCAGTCAAGGTTAATTTGCAAGATCAGCAGCTCTGTTTTTCTCTGTTGTCCAGAAACTCTTTCCTCTCTTTTGGGGTCTGGAGGGCCCAAATGCATTTCTTTCATTGATTTATTCCAGATATTTGCTTCCATCTCAAGCATAAAGATGTATTTTAAATCTCAAGTATTTCAAAGCACATTTTGCACAAAGCAAATCCATGAACCGTCACAATATGGTATTGGCCTATACTGTAATCTAGTTGAGTGCTAAAGTGAGAGCTACAGATTATAAAGGATTTCCTTACTTTGAATCCTTGACTGATTGGCCGGTTTCTCTGCCTGGTGTGTAATAAGGATTATAAATGAGCTCTGACATATGGCTGACATTTATTTTCTTTCATGCTGGAGGAACATGGCTGACAGTGTATGTGTGGGGGGGTATGTGCTTTCATGTGCATCTGCAGGAGATACAGTCTCTTCTCATCAACTGGAAGGGTCCTGACCTGACCACCTATGGAGAGCTGGTGCTGGAGGGCACCTTTCATGTCCTGCGGGCGAAGAACACCCGTACACTCTTCCTCTTCGAAAGGATGCTTCTCATTACCAAGAAAAGAGGAGAACACTACGTCTACAAGATCCACATCTCAGTATGTTTTTTGACATTTTGTCATCGATTAGAGATTTAATAGATCAGATTTCCAGTTAAATGACGCAAGATTTACATAATTAATAACTTTTTATGAAGGTAGTAAATTGGATGAAGCCTTATGGACATCACTACATTCATTGTTGTTGCAGTGCTCCACCCTAATGCTACTCGACAGTGCCAAGGATCCCCTGCTCTTCAGTGTTATCCATTTTAAGCATCCCAAGCAACCTCATACAGTGCAGGTAAATGGGAACTGGGAACACCGGTTATGCTGCATTCACATGGAATCAGGCAGACGGACAACACTATTACAGAAAACATAATATTGCATCAATCGTGCAGAAATATCACAAAACATCTGCTGTTTTTTCTGTGTTTCTTGTAGTCTTAGAATAATTATTTAGATGATGTAATAATAATATTAATAATAATAATTTTTTTATTTTTTATTATTAACATCAATGACTCTTTACTAAATGAGAAGTGCTTGTTGTTTCAGGCCAAGTCAGTAGAAGAGAAGCGTCTCTGGGCTCATCACATTAAGAGACTCATTCTTGAGAACCACAACACCATCGTCCCACAGAAGGTAAAAAACACCGCCCCTCATGGAGGATTTTTATTCTTCTCTGCTACTGAAGAATTGCCTCATATTTAATTACAATCATACTTTTTCTTCAAAGGCAAAAGAAGCCATCCTGGACAATTCTATCTGTAAGTGTCACATAAACAGTTACGTTTGTCAATTTAACTGTTTTGCATAGAGATGCTGCCAACAAAAGAGGAGGGTGTTTCATTTTAAGTTGAAAATGTGGAATGCTGTTGAATTAACCAGGAAGGCGTAGCCCATAACCCAAATGTCTATGAGCAGAAAATTGTTATTGAAATTGTGGCTGCGTGTAGTGACGTGTCCCTGTGTTGCTCAGATCCAGGGAAGTACCACTATAGTCCTGAGCGGCTGAAGAAAGCAGCGTCCTGCCAAGCTGATGACTTCCATCTTGGAGGGCGGAATGAGAGAAGGAGATCAGGTTAAAAAAAAACACTACTCAGTCTATCTATTTGTGTCTATTATTCAAATAGTATTATAGAATAGTATTGCTGATGATTAGTTGTCACTTAAACCTTTTTTTTCCTTTCAGAACCTGCAAAACAAATCATAAGGAGCACAAAAGGTTGGTACACCTTTGATGGGTTATTTGTTTATGTTCACTGGATGTTCACTAAGATTTTGGCAGCCACAAGGTCATAAACAGCGGGTCAGTTGATCCACGTTCTGGGTGCTGTCCAGCGGCCCAGCGGCCCCACTGGTCTGTCGAACAGGAGCAGCCCACATCTCTGTTGCACTGCTGCTTTGTTCTCCCTCAAAGACATCCGGAAAACAGATCAAGGGACACACTCCTAATGAAGTTAATTATATGCAACAGCGGTGGACGCCTTTGTCATACACAAGCTCTTTTCAATAGCCAAATTCAGCCTTGCCTTCAGATCCCATCCCCCTCCTATTATCTATTCTAATTGGCCATTATGAAAGAGAAACCTCTGTATTTGTGTCCCCTAGTTATCTTTTGCTCCCAGTCCAGATACATTTTCCGAAGCAATGTAATGAAGAAGCAATTTTCATGTCAACCATTCCATCTTAGTGAGGGAGTAGGTCATCACATCCTGGCTAATTGCATCACGTCCTGTTTCAGCCTCTGAGAGGAATACGTATGTTTCTAATTGGTATTTATCTAATCACAAGGCCTCCCTGAAGTCTGGGCCAGACTAACCTCTGCCTCACTCAATCTATGCTTGTGTAGGCAGAGATTGTGTCCTGGCCATTATTGTACATGATGCATGTCGTATTCAGGTTATTTTGTCATGTGATATTTGACTTGAGCATGCTTTATTTCATACATGTTGACATTCTCTTTTGTTCTTCTTTGTCTTTGTTCTCCTTGCAGCTGTTTTGAAGGTAAGTGCTGAAACTCAAATGTAGTCTTTTATTAAACCTTGATAAGCTTTTTCATTCTGCTGTATGAAAGCGGTTTTTCGGTCAGTGTGCTGTGGTGAGATATGGTTTATCCAGTTTTGACTCAGCAGTTCAAACTTTCTATTCAAATTGAAAAACAACTCAAACCAAAAATTAGAAAGTAGAAACCTTATCTTCCCAGAACATACTTTGACTTACCCCGGATTGCAAAAATCACTTCTCACCTAAAGCTGAAGCAGCTTTATTGATGATTCCATCCCATTTCCAGCCTTGCTATCACATCATGGCTCTAGCACTGGCCTTGCAATAACAAACCACATGTCTATGACTTCACGCTACAGCATGCAGACAGTGAGGGTGCACTGGTGGGGGAGAGGTGCTCCCTTCAGCCTGCCACTAGTGTCAGTACGCTGGCCTCCAGTCTAAGCGAGTCCCAGGCTGAGAGGCCATGTGTGGAGGATCTAATTCCCAGAAGGGACTCTCAGGAGCAGCTAAGTCCTTCTGACAGTGACCCGAAACTGGACTCTCCACCAAGTGAGGGGGTGCCGGAGCTGGAGAAGACAGAGGAGGCAAAGGAAGAGGAGGAGGGGGAGAGTTACAAGGAAGATATACTGATGGGAGACGACCAGGTAGCCGACTTTGCCAGCTCAGTGCTGGCAGCCATCTCCTGCTGGCACTATAGAGCCAGGGCTTTGCTTTCCACTCACTTCACAACGGTGAGGGTTTCTGCCACCCACGGGTTTCCTATTTCTCGCTCCATTCCACTGGCTTACCAATACTATCCGCCACTCTTTTCTCCCACGCTGGCTCTCGCCCCTCTCCCTCTTTTTTTTTTCTTCATAAATAGAACCAACTAACACCTGCTACCATTTGCACTGTGCACATTGAATGCCTCAGGTTGAATTCCTTCTATTGAAGTGCATGGACTGAAGTTCTCCCAAACTGCTAACGGTGAATTCTAAAACGTATGGGTGAAAGTCAATCTGGGTGCATGCCTTTGCTTTTATTGTCTTGTTTTGGAGTTGGACGTCATCACCCTGTGCATGCACTGTTCTCCTCTGATGGATGTTTTCCTTGTCTGTGTAGTTACAGTGTGCTATGTTTCGTGATTGTGTTTTTGTTTTTTGGGACGTGATTGATGCTGACGATTATCCTGTTGAAACCATGCCTGAATTAGCATTAGAACCAGTGGCCTAATGCGCCCTGTTAAATGTTGTTTGACTTCAAAGGTTAATGTAGACATCTAATTAACTGATCAGTATAATAGCAAAAGCCTTGCACTTTGATAATCATATTTCCTCCCCTCTGAATATTCAAGTCTTTGTTAAGGTTAATTGTTATACTAGTATTGTTTCCGAATATGAATTAATAGTAACAATAAAGACTTTTATCACAACCATTGTAGTGGATTTTTCAAAGCTGACCTTACGACACATTAAGTCTCTTGGAAATGTTTGCCCACTGTGACAGATTCTTCTGCTGCACGCTGAGTCACTGCATGATCTCTAGGATGATTTAGAATACAAACTAAGCTTAATGCCCGCTCTGCTCTTTCAGGACGATCAGATTGGAGATACGGCTGAGTGGAAAACTACACCAACAGAGGAGGTAAAACCTCACAGGCAGGAGGACAAACATGTGGATGTGGCTGTGAAAGAAACTCTTTCCACACAGGTGATTAATAAAGTATTGCATAGATTTCTACACCCATCCATTCATCTTCACTCGTGTCTCTGAGGCCTCTTCTGACATGTATTCACCGTGTTAAAGAATGACCATCTATCCTCATGCACTTAGTATCGCGTGGTTTGTTCTAAAGCATATTTTCTAGCCATTGTATGTTTTGAATGACACACTTTCTGTCTATTCGCTGTTGTTATATAGTCTAGCGGTGCATGAGAGTAGGCGTATTCAATACTGCAATAAGCATTTCAGTTATAAGTGCCCTTTGCTATGAGCCAAGCATTTCTCTAGGTGTATTTGAAAACATGCCTGGAGCTGTATTAATGCCTGATATTTATATGTGGTCCTGGAAATTCAAATGCCACACACACACTGTGGTCAGCGTTACATTGTAACATTGTGTTTTAGAGCAGTTCTTACCTGATTTTCACGGTAACTTTTAACGGTTTAACTCAGTATGGGTGAACAGAAATGAGACGAGGAGTCAATAATAACCAAGCAGCAAATCACAATGACATTTTTTACCAGTTGCACACATACATACATAGAAATTGGTCCCTGTAATAAAGTGGGCCTCATAAGTAATAAAACATGCATCATAAATTGTGGATGCTTTAGATTACACTGCCCGGGTCCATTACATTAATGGGTAACGGAGAGTGCTTGCCATCGTGATGTCTGTTTTACTCATTAAATCCCACTTTGCAAACACTCCTATCATATTTCAGGAGCTGTGCCCTCTAGACTGTGTCGCTCAAGCAAGAAAGAGCCATCCGCTGGAGATGCATTACTCCCAGTGCCCCGAGTCTCCGGTCTACCCTTTGCAACAAGGAGCCGACACACCAGAATCTCAGAATAACTCAAGAGAAGCTGCAGAGGAGGAAGAAGGGGAGAGTGATTCCTCTGTTCTCCAAGTGGAGGAGACGAGTGTACTGACAAATGGGGAGCTCTCAGAAGAAGACGAAGAGGGGCTTTCAGACAATAAAAGCATCCTACCCTCCTCTGTGTTGGACCAGGCAAGTGTGATAGCTGAGCGCTTCATCAGCAGCCTTTCGAGACGGAGCAGTCTGGTATCGGAGGACTTGGGGTCCCTTGCATGCCCCTCACCCTCAATAGATAATGAAGTCTTCAAAAGCTCCTCAGCTTGCATGGATTTAGAGCAACAGACTCAAATGCTGGCCAGCTCTTCTCCAGGGCCACAGGTGATCTCCGAGGTTGATCTGTCAACGCCTGCACCCGATCCCGCACTGAACGCCCTCGTTGAAGAGGAACTCAGGTCCACTCTCTCTAAACAAGATCGCCTCCTCATCTGCAAGATCAGAAGATACTACCAACACGCTGAGCACCAAGATGCTGCCTTCAGCATCAAGCGCCGGGAGAGTCTCTCCTACATCCCAGCAGGTCTGGTCCGCCACCTGAGCCGACAGCTAAACAGTAATCCTCAGGAGCAGGCCGTCACAGTTCATAGGAAAGGCCTCTCTCGGAACCGTCCCACTTCCTGGTCAGTGTTTGACCTTCCTGGCTTGGAAAAGAGTCGAAACACTGACACTCAACAAAAGACTAAACCACAGAGACCAGTGGAAGCTAAGGCTAGATCTCAGAGCAACACAGATACCTCTACCACAGAGGAAGAGTTTAGAACCTCATCAGACATGCTCAAGGTTTGGCAAGACATGGAAATAGAGGAGGACAGCCAGGACAACCTGCAAAATACAGAGGAGAAACTTAAAGACTCGAGATTAGAAACAACATGGGATGTCAGCTCAGACACTTTAAATGTTAAAACCAGTAAGCAACCACCTCCTATTTTAGAAGAGTCTGAAAAAAGCACTGCCTCAGATGGCTCCTCCGTCTCATCTCCCACCACAACTTTTCCAGCAGTGGAAGGGGGATCCTGTCAGGACTCTACGTCTCAAGACAAGAGCCGCGTCAACCATGGCCAAGTACCCAAGATAATTAGCTTCCGAACAAGTATGGATGAGGACCAGATCCTAAACGACATGGGGAAGATGAAGAACAAGGTGTTCCAGCTGGCACGCCAGTACAGTCAGCGCATTAAAAGTAACCGGCCAATAGTGTGGCCGAGGAACCGAGAAAGAGCAAATCAACAGGGCTTCAATAGTTTGCCTGCTGTCCATGAGGAGAAGATACAATTGAGGAAAAAGGGTAAATAGGATGCTTGCTGCTTTATTTTGCAGTAACTTTCCTCTTAAGCTCATGTATGGAGAAAACTGAAAAGATTTTTTTTGTCTGTTTTTTTGTGTATGTGTGCAGGTAAACCCAACCTGAGGTTGCCCTTGAACACTTGTGATCAGTCAGTCGTCCATGAAGAGCGTTCTCCAAGCCCGGTCCAGACCCCCAGCTCTGGACCCAGCTCTGGACCCAGCTCTGGACCCAGCTCCCAGAGCACAGTTACATGCCCACAAAGCCCACCGTCGGAGACAGTGACCTTCCACTGGCCTGACGTACAGGAGCTGCGCACCAAATACACAGACACCTCCCACTCCTCGAAACTAACTTGTAGCTGCACAGTCCTAAACGGGGTGCTGGAGTGCTGTACAAACAGGTGTAATGGGTGCTCACTCAAGTACAATAGCTCCTCTGACCTTCACAAAGCTCTGACAGACGGTCCGAGGACAGAGTCTGAAACAGCATACAAAGAAATGTGTCATGTGGTAGAGGACTGGGCCCAGCCCCAGCTTCAGCCCCTGCTGTGCAGGTGGAGCTCCTTGGACCACATGCTTGGGTCTCTTCCCCTCCATAAAGTACAGAACTTTCAGGAACCTGTGCGGACCTGCTTCACAACACGTCAGGTGTCTCTGATAACGAGAGAAGGCGGGGACAATGTTCTCCAGGAGGACCTAGACTGTACCACAAAGTCTGCTGCCTCTTCGGGGAAGACGACAGAAAGTAATCTCGTGAAAAGCTTACGAGAGAAGTTCCAGAGCTTAACCACAAGCTCATGAACATGTGAATTATGTGATTTTTATCAGGGACTATCACGTGGAAACCAGTTACGTTATGCTTCTCAACGTCCTCTTTTCCCTCAAAAGAATGCAACTTGTTGTCTGCACATTGTTTTCAGTACACACGGTGATGATTTCGGCACCAGTGAAACATAAAGGGATGTTATTGGTCATTGGTGAGGGCCAAAGCATATTGTCTTTAAAAAGGTGTATTGCAATATTTGTACATTAGTATTTGTCTGCACTGTACAATACAAGTTTTTGTAAAGATTTGTATATAGTCCCTAGTAATTGAGGATTAAGTTCTACTTTATTATTATTTGCATCACTTTTGTTTCCACCCACTGTTGGTGATTCTTGCTATAACTATAGCACTGTTATCATTTAACCGTGTGAACTGTCTGCTGGAGTTTCAGGGGAAAGCAAAAAGGAGCTAAAGTGTCATTGACGAGAGACCTCTGTTGTTGGTAAAGTCTCTAACCGTACGCCAAAGAGGGTTTCCTTTTAACATTTGTTGACTTTAATGCACGTGTTCACAACAGTAATTTGCTTCCACGTTTACTGTAGCTGCTTCTAAAAATGTTTCACAAACTATCACTGGAGCTTTATTTTTCTCAATAAGCTGTATATTTTCTTTGATATTATTTATGAAACTCTATATTTGGAAAAGATTGTCCTCGTGTAAATACTGACCCATAGCAGCCCTTTTTACTTTTCCATTCCAGAACATATATCATTTCATACTTGAAGTTTCCCATATTTTCAATAAAAACAGAAATGGTAAATGTCCTCGTAGGTCCTCTCTTTACGCTGTCATGCATCTCAAATACAGTACATCCATCCCAGAGGGAAATCTACTACTTCCACGATCCACTGGTCAAATGGATTGAAGAATGCTTCCATGTTAAGACTGAGACAGTCAGTCTGTTTTTAGAAGATGAGAATTAAGACTATTGTATGAATGTGTGGGGTGCATAGCATGTGGAAGGAATGTATCTTATCGACATAATTCTTTTGAAATGAGGATCAAGCAGCACCACCAAACTAACCGGCATCTGCAATGATAAAATGACATGCTCTGAAGTTATTGATGCATATGTGACTAAATTGATTAGATAAATAAGATTCATCTAATCATAAATAGATAAATTTGATAAATAAGATGTTTCAAATCAATGTCTGGAGACCCTGGCTCCTCAAAAACATACATAACATTGTCTTATCAGCTTTTATTATTTCTTTCCCTAATTTTATGAGAATCGCATGTTTCAGAAGTCTGCTACAGACAATTACACATTACTATACATTACAAGTATGCCTAGTATATGAAATATTTAGTTCCGTATTTTTTCTTCTTTATCATATATGCCACAGTTTGTGGCAAAAGGAGGGGTTGCTACTTCACTTATTTTTACACATAAGGGTTGATATGTTTAATTACTAATTATTTATAGGTGAGAGATTTAATCAGTGTACTTAATTAGCTATCAGAATCAGTCTGAAACAGCTAAAAGCAGTATAAAGTGGCCACTGCACGAGTCTTTATTAATGTAATAAGTTATCTGTCTTTTATTGAAATTGACTGCGCGGCCCAACCCCACGGAGCTCAGCGCGCTGTTTCCCTCCCAACTGATTGATCTTTGCATCAACAGCTGCGTCAAGTCAGCCATGAATAGACAGATTTACACCGGAAATCATCAGGGCAATCCTTCAACATAAAAGCGCAAATGCTCCTCGGTACCCCCTGTAATCTGTTCTCATCGGCGAGGGGTTTTATTTTGAACCATTGACCAGAACTTGCAGCTGATCTGTCTGTTTACTAACTTGACACCAGTCCGATATACCGGCCAGAGGCGTGTGGTCCAAGGCGCAGTTCGAGGCGCAGATGCCAGCGACATCAGATTTCCTCTTCCACAAAATCAATTAACCCTTCTTTTTTACTTTCTGGACTGGCGCCAATATATAATTATTGTATACATATTTTTTTTTTGTCTGTGAAGAATGGGCTGCGCAATATCAGGTCTGACAGCAAAGGCAGAGTTTGGTGAGAGGACCACAGAGGAGGATGATGCTGCTGCTGCTGCGTGTCCCAGCGAGGATCAGATTCTGATGATCAAGGATTCATGGAAAGTTATCCGGGACGATATTGCCAAAGTTGGGATTATTATGTTCGTCAGGTAAAACGGTTAAACCTCTTCTGTACTTTTTCAGTGTTGTTTGCGTGTCAATAATTCACAATTAAAGATTTAATTCGTCTAGTAGGCTATTGAAAATGTAAAGCCATATGATCAGGAATATTATAGTGTCAAACTGAGTAACCTTTATAAACACTGATTCCCTTTAGACATAGTATATTTTTTTTTTGATAATTTGAATTTAATAAACGTAGCCTAGATATTGTGGATTTTGCAGTCAAAAGAAACACAACAGGTCCAACAAACAAATGGTATTTTCCATATCATGTGTGTCTAAAAGGCTCATACACGTGATCATCATAACGCACAGCAAAGGAGCAACTTATCAGTTCAACCTTTTCAGACAGCTTAGTGTGCCCTGTGTTCTGGCCTGCTGGCCCAAAAGACAAAGGTGTTCAGAAGGTTCTTCTGTCCCACTTTGATAATGACATTATGCCTGACCTTTTCATACCAGCCGGAAAGTGAACATCGAGCTCCCCTCCACCTCCAGCACATCCCTCTGTTCTTCCCTCTGGCCCACAGCTTTTTCATTTAGAGCTCAGAGCAGACTACCCCTCCTCCCCTCTCATCACTTCATATCACATCTTAACACCATTATGTAATGATACACAGCCACGGGTCTGCCATAGTGCGATACAATTAAAGGCTTGAGCCATCAGGAAAATGCATTTCATCAATTAGGTTGACGACCTGCGTCTGGGAAAACATCTCTGACTTATGGCAATACAATGAAACAAATGAAAGTGTATATGGTGATAAAGAGTGGTGGACATTCAGGCTGCACCATTTACATTAAAGAGACTACGGGGCACATGGCTAGAAGTTCAATTCATGCCCTGTGTCCCCTGGGTGACCTGAACAATTGAAGAGATGACCTTAGCGTGTTAGCCTGGAAATTCATGGGCCACTTGTGGGTCAGGGCCACCCCCCGGCTGTCAGGGTGTGTGTGTCATCATGACTGAACAGTAAATAACAGAATCACCCGTTTTTATTGTGTTCTTGCTCTTAATTTAACAGACCCTTTTCTTTGGCAAGGGGATGATCCCCCAATTTAAACCAAATGAGATACTCTTAAGACTTAGATGGGACCCATTCGTCAGTGCCAAAATAGTTACAACATCCTCTGAACATCGCCAATTAACATTCCACAAGAGCTATACAGCGCTACATTGTCTGCATATGAGCTCTTGCATGTGCGCCACAAAAGAGCATACAATGCTGTGTAAACGGTGGAAATAAAGCTGGTGAGCAGGAGGTATGCATTTCCAAGCCACTTACATTGGAGTGCAAACATTGTAGCATTACACAATGAGTTTATTATTGAGTCAATTAATCAAGAGTGAATTCTTAATACTTGATAATGAGTAGAGCCTGAATATTTCTCATTTAATGTAACTATAAGCCCAGACCCTTTCCATTTTAAAATGTCTGCACTACCAGTTGTAACATAAGATTATACTTTGAAAGTAATGAGCCAAACTATGGAGTTGCACATATGAAACAGGAAGACAATAAAAACATTGTACTATAGTAGACATATGAAAACATGCGTTTCTTAGTCAGGTCACTCAAAAACAGACACTCACCGACATTTTGTTTTGTCAATATATGGCCTCTCTGTGGTATTATCTGCTCGTCAAAGGGCTACTCATGTTTTGCACCATCACATTTCTAACACCTCCCCCACCAACTTTATTCATCAGTCTATCTATGGGAGCACATGTTTTAGACATCTAATGCATTTAATCATGAGGACTCTGTTTTATATTTCAGGTTTAGAAATGCACGTTTCCCCCCCCCCCCTACGGGAAAAAAAAGAAAATAGAATAAGCTTTGGTTTGACCTGCCACACCCACAAGCACTCATGGTTTCTGCCATAATTATCTCTTTTCTTTCCTTTCCTTCCCACGACTTCATTCTGAAAAACCAGAGTTAGCGTCAGCCTTGCATCTCATTGTGAGCACAACAACACTCACATCCAGCTGTGTATTCTGGCAGCATGACTATTTACAGGTATCTCAGCTGAAGAAGGAAGACTCTGATTGGATGGCAGGATGCATAAAGGCTCCAGTCAAGGAAATTGATTGACGTTAAAAAAAGAAAAGCAAAACTCTATATCAAGATCAGTGGCTCCATTTAATGGGGACTCCAGGTCTGACGGGGCAGGGTGGCTCATCACAGCTCGGGTGGAAATGAGGGTACGAATTGGCCTGGCTACCAAACTCACAGATCCACCATGGCCTGTGACTGATTGCAGCTGTTAGGTTTAAAAAAGGGCAGTGATGATAAGAAGAGAGTTAGAAGCCTCCAAACGAATGTTGATGAGCTGAAAGTAGCAAATTCACACTCAGCACTGTGAATAGAGGGTCACAGTTGTGTGACTCTTGGGGTTATGTCATGTTGGTTGGGGAAACTCAGGGGGAGGTTTGTTTTGTTTTCTGGGATTTAATATGACAGGCAGCTCTCAGAGACTGTGCACTGTTGTTGTCTTGGTAACAGGTTGTTTGAGACCCATCCTGAATGCAAGGACGTCTTCTTCCTGTTCCGAGACGTGGAGGACCTGGAGAGGTTGCGGACCAGCCGGGAGCTCAGGGCACACGGCCTACGGTAAGTCACCAACTCTGCGCTTAACAGAACAAGCAACACATTAGCATCATCCACAGCAAAACTGAACAAACCAGTCAACGATAGCATAGCAGAGAACTGCATTACGCTGGGCAGGAGAGCACATTGATATCCAGCACCCTCTTGTCTTGCCTACTCTAAAAAAATCAAAGTGTGTCATTCATTCATTGGCTTCTTTCAGCATGATGAACATGTAAAATAGGACACGGCTGGTATTATTATACATTTTGTCATCAACAAATCCCATGAAAAGACCCAAACCAAACCTAATACTTCCCTAACATGTATGAGGCAACCAGTCACCCATTGGTTAAAGAAGTACATCTTTAAAAACAGTGTACAAATATTTATTTTCATTTTTAAATAAGGCTCAGTAATTTCTTCAGTTTTGTGCTTTTTAAAAATATATATATTTTCAGCCACGGATGAAAACACATTTGGTGCTCTTGTGCAGTGATTACCAACCCTTTTAGATTTCACCAATTTGTAATCCTAATTCATGTATACTCTTACCAAAACAATTTCTGCTTTTTCAAATCATCAGAGCGCCTCCACAAATATTTCCTGTACCGCTTGGGAGAAGGGTACAATTACCCCCGGTTGGGAATCACTGCTCTAGTGAGTATTTACGGCAGCAGGACGGTGTATGGGCGACTGACTCAAGATAAAATAATTGCAACAGTGTGGCTCATACGTTTCTTTTAATAGCTTTTGGAAAACAAGGGAGCTACATGGCACCGAGAAATATCAGGCTTAAGGCTACAGGCCATACTCAATACTGGAATCAATGCATAGTTGTTTTGGTCTTTTCATGGGAAAAAATACAGAATATCACCAGACTCATCTTTTTAAACAATACATTTTAAAACCATGTTGCACACGGTGCAGTGTAATACACAACTCATAAGATAAGTGTCAGGGCAAAATGCCTCAGGTAGTCATATCATTATGACGCTGCTTACCACTCTGCTGCAGACAGAGCTTGTAGCGTCTATTACAACCACTTGTCTGTTGTTTCCAAGGAGCATCAGGCCTCTGTGTGTTGCTCGATGCACAAGGCCAAAGAAGCCAATTATGGCGCACGGACTAAATGTGTTACGCATCCCAGCATAAAACCTGGCGGCTCTCAAATTCAGTGATAAGGCCAAAATGACCCTTCAACCGCACTCAGGGATATAGATGTCCACGGTGGTAATGAGACAGAGGGAAGAGAGATAAACCAATTGTTCTAAACCATTGTTCTGTATTCATCTTCAAAACTGTCACGCACACTCTCCTCGGTGATGGAAAACACCTGCAAAAGCAACAAAGACAATTGATCCTGTCGTGTTTTGTGCCGGGGAAAAAAAACATGTTTCCAAGGGGGATAAAGTATATGGTGCAATTTTGCATCATCAAGTGTGAGCTGCATTGAAATGATATGAAATCAATTGTGTTCATCTTTCTTGGCACATGAGTTTATGAAACTGAAAATGTCATCGTGCAGTCTTTCAACAGGTATGTACAGTGGTGTTGTCTCAGCTGATAGTCGTCCGCTGCTAATTCACGGTTAACTGGGTGTCGTTTTTTTTCCCCCTCCATCTCTTTTTAGGGTTATGTCTTTTATCGAGAAAAGCGTGGCTCGACTGGACCAGCTGGAGAGACTGGAAGCTCTGGCTCTGGAGTTGGGAAAGAGCCATTATCATTACAACGCCCCGCCTAAGTACTACAGTGTAAGGGAGCAGTGATCCCAACGCTGCTTAGCACAGTGTGTCTTTGTGACGCTGTTTGTTTGTTTTTAAATAGATGACTACACATATTCTAATGTCAACTAATACAGCAGCTCTCTGTCAGACTCAACATTATACTGAGACTGAAACTAAAGCAGCTGAATGAATTCACTCACAAACTGCAAAATGGACACACACTTACTCTTACAAATAACAATGATAGCAATGGAGTGACACACCAACTGGATATAGTTACCACAGCGTTACATATACAGCGTATCAGTTAACTATCTCCCATCATTTTGTTTTACAGTACGTCCAAGCAGAATTCATCTGTGCCGTGCAGCCCATCATGAAGGAGAGGTGGACGTCTGAGCTTGAGGAGGCATGGAAGGTAAGTAGTGCCATTGAGTGGCCCATGTGTGTCTTTATGTGAGCGTTACATGAGAGAGACCTTTACAGCGACCCATTCTGGGTGAACGCCGTGTGCAACCAGCATGTCAGCGTTAGTGGCGGTGTGTGTCCGGCCTGCATCAGCGTCAGAGTCTCTTCAATGAGCCGTGTAACATGTCAAAAAAGGAACCAGTGCAACACAAGCCTGACTGATGAGGAATTCACATCTCACTGAATCAAACATGAGCATGTGGAGGATATGGAACATGGCTCTGTCACATCATGTTATGTCACTTTAAGATCGCTTGTGTTATTAATACCGGGACACTCGAATGTTTGTTCCTACTCGGTGTTTATACACAATGGAGACACCTCTTTCCTTCAGGGAAGTTAGTTTTAGTGTGGAGCTTTCTGGTATTGGACCGCAGAGGAGGCAATACATTTCAGGGGGTTTAAAACATTAATCACTTGTGGCCAAACATATCTCAGAATAAAAAAATGACTTTAATGTAAAAATATGTGCGCTTATTTTAGAAACAGTGTGTCTGTAGTTTCATGTTATATCTATATATTTAACATTTAATTTCAGTTTCTGCTTCAATTAATGGCCTCTACGGCCCTCTAGTGGTTGAATTTAGTCCGTTTTAATTGTATTTCTATGTCATGCCAAACATTAGGCTCATCCTATTTGGGATTACTAAACACCATTACTTATCAAACATTTAAAAAAAAAAAAATATCACATATACAATATTGTTTGTACATCAGTAGTCATTCAAAACATATTGATGTAATAATGTTCTAGTAAATTGAGCACTGATAACTGCTACAAGCCTTAAATTTAATCCAATAAATATGTTTTCCTCACCGCTCACCTTTTCTTTAAGCAACTGGTTAATTGCAATGTTTCATATATGAACACCGAACATCTTTTATTAAGAGAATTATTTGATTCCATATCTTCCTGCAAATCCTCATTCGATATCCTCCAACTTTGGTGCATATTTGTGGACAGCCAAACAATATTTAATAGCACTGTTTCACACAGACAATGTACTACCAACTAGTATTTCTAAGGCCCTGGGTGGAAAGTCAAGCAGGACACACACACATAAGATGGTGATTGTGTTGTCTGCATACAAAATCATACTTCCCTTCCACACAATTTAAAACTTTGTTGAAAGAATGAATATCCTTCACCCATGGGGACCCTGACCCAGCTCAATATGTATCTTTTGTGATCCAGACCATGTTTCAGTTTGTGACCAGCCTAATGAAGCAGGGATACCAAGAGGAGAGCGACAGACAGCACCTGCTAGCACTCTCCCCGAAGGACAGGCCGGACAAGAAGAACACGGCGCTTTGAGGGGCTTCTTCTTTCAATCACAAGTCAGACTGCTTCTACCAGTACAGCACAGAACAGTCTAAATGTATATAGTGTATTTACCGTCTCCTTTTCTACATCACTCATTTAGCGCAGGCATTGTTTGACCCTTACTCAAAATGGACAAAAAGCAAACTTTGCAGTGACTTTCAACAGAGCACTTTATTTCTGAACTTAACTTCTGCTGCAGTCCTCTTCCATGAGTTCAGGACCCGGGAGCACGATACAAATGTCTGACAATATAGACCAGCTGTAGTTCAACCTGCTGTGCAATTGTGATGAACGGAAATGACGTTATTAGAATTAGACAAAACTTTGTCTCTGTATTCATAACAAACATGCCTTTCAATAAAAATCAACATTTAACATTTCTTGTCATGTCATAATTACCCACATTAACTGAAACGACATATTTTCTTCGGGTTCAGCAGTTTAAGATAGCTTGGTATGAAACTGAATCAAAACAAAAATATTCATATTCATTGTGCTTCAGGAGGTAAAATAAGATCATTGAATAAAGTAAACTTTCATCTCCAATACAGTAAAACTTTTTTTCAAAATACATCAAATCTGCTCTGATTTAGTTGTGTATGAAGCAACTTGGCTTTCATTGCTTATTCAATTATTAAACAAAAAAAAGAAGATACAACCGTCAATGAATTCTTCTTAAGATAAAAGGTCAAATAGAAACACGGCAGCAGAGCTCACAGGTCAGCCGTAAATATAACATAATGTGGACTCTAACAATTAAATAGTATGAAGGGCAGGTAATCATTGGGCTCCATGGATTTGGCACCAGGGGTGACACAGCTGTTGATGACCTGGTTCCGAAGCAGAAATGGTGGAGATTCAGTAAAGTTGACTTGCTTCGTCCTGTACGAGAAATCCTCAGGTTCCAATGGCACCGAAATGCCAGCGATTAGACATTACCGTGCAAACAATGGCACAATATCAAAGTGGTCACCGGGTGGATGAACAGCGAGTCTGAGGCCTCGGGTGAACGGGTCAAAAGCGGGGTGCGGCGACAGACCAAGTGAAGGCCTTTGCCGTTCCCTAGGATCACACAGGCCAGTTCGGGTCCCCATGGTTATGTTACAGAGTCTGTCTCTCATTGGGTGGCTTTGGTCTTCTTGCTTTTGCTTTTCTTATCTTTCTTCTTAAGTCCATCCATGTGAGCTCTAAGGAGATTGGAGTATGCCTGCAAAGAGGTGTTCAAGTTCACGATTAAGTTCTCACAGCTCCATTCTCAAAGACAGACTAATATCAAGATCATTGTAATAATATCAAGGAGACCCAATCAAGACAATCTGCATACAGTGACCAGGGGCAATAGCTTCAAAATACCATTGAAATAAACACAAAATGAGCTCAACCTACCATTTGAAACTTGATTACTTCTTTGGTGTTGACCTGAAATAGCAAGAAATGAAAAGTCAGAATTAACAGCTTGTAAAAAAAACGGCAAAATATCAGAGATCTATTTGATCAAACAACACATTAAACACAGTAAGCTCACCACTGTGCTAATTTTCTTCTTGCCATCAGATGCCCTGACGAGACATTTGTTGTCTGCTGGTTCAAATGAATCCGTGTGGCCCTTTCGGGGTGCTGGCTTGGTCCTCCCGTCATCTGGAGACGACAAACACATCCCATTAGACGATGAAAGGGGAAACTCGTGGCATTATTTACAGGTTAAACTTGAAGGAAACTCAAGGAGGTGCTTACACTTCTTTAACGTGATGACAACACTGCCAGATGTTCTGCACTTCTGGAACAGTCGCGTGAGCTCTGTGAGAAACTGAGCAAAAACAAAGATCAATGCGAGTCCTGTAAGAATGATCAATACTGTTTGGGGCTCCAGCACGAAGATTCATCATGAAATGATTCCACAGACGTTGACTGATTATATACTCAGTGTATTAGCTACACCTTGCCTAAACTATTGCAGTCTTATATGTATCTAAAATATGCATCTAAAATCAACTGTTGGGCTGTTTAATCTCCTTCGGGATATTGTTGGAAGGTTGTGATAGTGTTTAATTGTACTGCCTCAAATGTAACGTTAACATATAACGTTACATTTTTGATTAGCTTTACTAGCTGGAAACGTATTTTCTTGTTTAACGTTACTTTACTATGCTTCAGGAAACGTATAACTTAGCGTTAGCTGTCTTGAAATGATCCGTTACTGAATGCTAATTCCAGGTTTTGCTAGATTGGCGTCTATGTACGAAAAAAATGACCAGTTCAACAGAGATCTACGTGACTAACGTCTGCGTATTGCCCTTAAAATGCTAGAAAGTGCAATAACTGCTTAAAGCTTAACACGAAACCAAACGTTAGCTTCAATCAAATGATAGCATGCTGGCTAATGGGTCCGACTAACGTTAGCTTGACTAACGTTGTGCCTGTTAACTAGACAGCTAAACTAATGCAGACAGTGTCAATTTATAGTTTATGATCAATAACGTCGACAGATGAAATAATTAACAATATGCTCTTAATCTTACCGAATCATTTTCAAGCAGCACCATGACTCTAACTCCAGCTTTAGCGTTGGCTAACCACTGTGAAGGCTGTAAAGCACACGTACTACGTACTCAAGCCGGGGCCCCGCCCTGCGCCTACACTGCGGAAACAGGGTTTCGGTGACAGCGCCTCCTATGGCCAGGGAGGGGAATAACATACATACCGTCAGTAATAAAATAAATCAATCAAACACATACAACTGTTGAAGGAAACATTTGTAGATATATATTTTTCAATAATTTCGTTAATTAAAGACGAAATACATAAAAAATAGATATAAATGTATATCTACATTATATACCTACATTTTCACGTCATGACTGTTTGATCCAAATGAAAGCAGCTCTTTGTGTTCCGGACAACTCCAAGGTCGGAATTGAAATGGTAGTATTGTTGTCGTAAAATAGTCATAAAATATGAACGTATAGTATGCCATAATAATATAGTATGGCATAGAAATGTCAAGTATAGCATGTTGAAAAAAATCATTGTATAGTTTGTCAAAAAAAGTAATAGTAAAGCATGTCAAAAAAAGTCATAAAAAGTTATGGTATGTCAAATAAAATATGTCGAAAAAAGTCATAAAAAAGTCATATTATAGAATGTCGAAAAAAGTAACAGTATATTATGTAGAAAAAAGTCGAAAAAATAAATAGGAAGACACTTTAGAATTAAGTTTACTATACCATTGTGTCAAAGAGTTGCATATTTTAAAAAGTTCTTAAACATTTTCTATTGTCCTGATTGTACCTCCAAACAAATCATTCATACAAAATCGTAGAAGCTACAAAAATACAGATATACAATCCATTTTTATAGCTTTTATTAAATACACTGGATCACAACAGGATTGTACAAATTGTACAAAGATGGTTCAGTTTTTATTCAGTCTGAGTTGAGTTAAAAAATATATTTATACACACAGTCAGTCCGCAAGATCAGACATTTTTGCTTTAAAAAGTTAAACAAATAACTGTAAAAGTCAACAATAAGTCCCAGAGAGCATTGCTGTAAGAAACAACAATTCTAAGAGCTTCAAAATTGGGCTGTTCACTTCTGAATTAATGTGGGACAAATCCAGCAGCTCGATGATCTGAGGGCCAATCCTACATGGGGTGTTACCCCACCAATACCTTGGACTTGATACAGTAGCCAATACAAGACGTTGGATGACGTGGACGAGGTGAAGAAACTCTGTCATCCTCAGTTTTGGTCCGGAAATCTGCGCTTGGAGAAAAGAAGAGAAGGATGACATAAGAATTTGCATCACCATGCCACTACAGTCAATATCATTTATCTTACTTACATTGAACTTGTATAAAGAGGTTTCTGTCATCTTGATAATGCACAATCTGGGTGGTGCCCCAGGTCATCAAGTTGCACAGCAAACTCAGAGTACCAGTCTCTGTCAAAGACTGCCCTGAGCTGACCATGCAGGGTCTTGGTCTTCGATACAGGGTGAGTAGCATGCTGGGAAATCACCAGACCCACTCCAGCTGTGGTCAGAAAGTAGTCCCCTGACCAATTGGAGGTACCTAAGGGAGAGCACAACATTATCTGTTCAAATATTAACCAATTCACAGGCAACAAACCGACTCCTCAACACATAAATGTTTAACCACAACAGTAAATGTGTGGGTATAATAATCCTTAAAACAATCTGTCACTCACCAATGTAGGCTACTTTATCAGTCACCATGTATTTATTGTGGTTGACTTTGGTATATGGAATATCAGACTGGTTTCCCACAGGCACAATGTACAGTTTCTGAAAAGCGAACAATGTGCAATCAAATAAAAAAGAAAATTCAGAGGCAAAGATCGGCGTTTTTACCCAGCAGATCTATTTTTTTTCACGTTGTTGTCTTACTATTTGGATGCTGATATCCTGGTGAGGACTGTCCATTGAGGCTAGAGACTTTAGGAAGGGCAGCATGGCTGGATTAGAGTTCCGCCCACAGCTGATCAGCATCCGCATCTTAACCCTTCTCTCGAATGCAGCGGTCCTGATGGCGTCATCAATGAAAGGCCAGTATCTGTTCAATTAAAAGAAAAAAAGTGAGGAAATAAAGATAAAAAGGCAAATTTGATGGAAGCAAATGGTTTCTTTTGAGTGTCACCTCTGAGGCTTTTCAAAGAGTGTGGTGGGGAAGTACTCCATGACGGCTACATCGACATAGTGTTGGGCCTCTGAGATGCTGGAGAGAATAGCCTCCAGGTCCTGAGTCCTCGATGGAGGACAGAATGATGGTGGAGAACCCTGGGGTGAAACGCAAACATTTCATAATAATACCAACAAAAACATTTGATACATACAACACGACTGCCATGGTAACAGTTTGAGGTTTAGAGGTGGTTGAAACTGTAATACGCACATTGTACGATCACTTCTGTTTAAATAGAGACAGCTCCTTTATCCATCACAACAACCTGTCCTGTGAAAAGGAAATGAAACCTAAGGAACTCACTGTGAGGTACAGCCTGCTGGAGACCTCATCAGTTTTCACCAGCAGGGGGTGATGTTTGTTGATGTCCGTGTCATACTTTGAAGGCCAGGGCTGTGGCAGGGAGCTGTGGGATTGTCCCATTACCCAGTAGGACTGGAAAATCTTATGGAGGTCCTTTGCTAGACTGGAGCAGTTGTAGACAACTACTCCCAGTTCCTTCACCTAAAAGTGAATTATGAAATCATTTGGAGGTGCGTTTAAGGTGTCAAAAAAGCATCTGTAATTATAGATTTTAAGCGTTACCTGAGTGAAAGCCCTCCAGTCCATGTTGGCGCTTCCAATAAACACATGTTTTCTGTCAACTATCCAGAACTTGCTGTGGAGGACGCCCCTTGTCAAGCGTCCAAAATTCACCTTCCTCACCTGAACTCCTACAGACAGCCAAAGAGGGAACTGCAGTTAAGGGAAGTTGGCGCAAACAATGCATCACAAATCATCACAGTGAAAGTCGACAACAAGAACAGTCGCTTCCACACCTTTCTGTTTCAAGATCTCTAAATCTGTGGAGTTTGTTGGAACGGTTGGAACACTGGTCACCACTCGGACAGACACATTCCTGGAGGGCAGTTCTTCAAGTGCTTTCAGGATGTCCCTTCCCTGCAGAGGACAGCCTCACAGTAATATCGGCATTTTCCAACAAAAAAAACAACATATTAAACAAAGAATTGATGTGTACGTTTTCATGTTTCTCTCCATTTCAGTTAATAACTCACAGGTATGTCAGAGGAAGAATTAACGTTAATGTCTTCCCCAGTTAAAGTCCAGTAGAAAGAGGCCACTTCAACGTGGTCCTTTGCCATGGCGATAAGATCTTTCCAGACATCTTCCAGAGGGATCCCCAGCGTTTCGTTGATTCTGTATTTCACTTGTTGAGGGATGCTCTCCACCAGCGCCATGCTAAGACATAAACAAATTGTGCTGTGACTCCACAATTCTTTGGAAATATTATATATTATAATTTAGAGAAACAATTTCAGAATCATTAACCATTAAGTTAATAGGTGTAGATAAAGTTATAAAGGAACATGGTAATTCATTATTCTACTGTTGTATGATGATCTATGTTGTATCAATACATCGGTCTAAACATAATCATTACTATTAATAAAGTTATTGTTCAGTTAAGTCTCAAATTTCATTTCATTCTACAGTTTAACATTATGTTAAGTAGTATATACACATCTTCAGAGGGATTATTACCTGCACTGGTCCGTAGAGGAATTGCTCCCACCAGTTTCCTGAGGGAGAGTCTCATGATCTTTGGGGGTTGGTGGTCTTTTGAGCACCGCGATGGCAAGCAGGATCCCGAGGACTGTCAGACAGCCCAAAACCAGAGCTAATGTCACACAGCTGGTCGTCCTCTAACAACATGAAGTTTGATAGAAAAACAAGTTCAGGAGTCACAACAATGTGCCATCAAAACCAGAGGGAATAACTTGGGAAATATTTGACGCAGTCTTACTCTTTTGCTTGAAACATCACCGTCATGAAGCCTGCTATACATAGAGGGCATTTTTTCATTTCATGTGGTCCGCACCTATTAATTCAAAAACAGGAAATTGTCTTCTCAGACATTAAATAAACACACGACAACATCTGACCACACGATAACAGAAGTAAACATTTTGCATTTTAAATGATTTAAATCTCAGCAAAATTTGGTTTCCAAAGTATTGAAAGCAAAAGCAACTTACACAAAGCAGATGCAGATCCACTAGAACGAGCTCACAACAAAGTTGCTTCTTCCCCTCTAGCTTTCACCCCAAACTGATCTGAAGAGATACATCTGCTACCGAGTAGCTCATAGCACAGTTCCTGTTTTCACTTTCATTTCAGGTTTTGAGATATGCATTTGCTTAGGACTAAACAAAAGTGTAGTGAGTGAATAAAAGTAATCACAAAATACAGCTTTACCAATCAAATTTATTTGAAAAATCTGCAATCATCAAATTACACAAAAACAACAACATAAATACCAGCTAACAAGACAGCAAGATTACAATCAACAGGTAAAGGGAGGGGAAACAAATTGAATATCAAAAGAGGGACACAAATTTGACAAACGAGAAATACATTTCAGCTCTCAAACCTGCTGTAGCTTTGACTTAGATGGAGTAAAGCAAAGGGGAAATACTATCCCACAGAAGAAGAATAGCAGCAACACTTCAAGCAAGTGATGTCAAGAGGACAAACATTCAATTTAGCTCGAGTTTGTAAACAACCACTTTCCCACACAGCTCTGTGGCACTTATAGGTATGTCCCAATTACAATCGCATGTACAATCTGGAGAAGGGAAAAGGGGAAACAGCAAACAGCTGGTGAACCGGGTCGCCTTCTCTCCTGCTGCAGGCTCAATGGCATCAAATGGTTACAATCTTTCGCAGGAGAGCAACAACTTTCAGTTCGCAGCATATCAAGTCGAGGGGACAATGTTGTACTACACAAGTGCAAAAGACAAGATTGAGAGGTAATTTGTAAAAGATATATTTAGATATTTACATAGTGAACAGAATGTCACAAACTAATCGGCAGATGTACAGCTTCGCACAATTGACTTTGTCAACGTCCGTGCTCCAATGACATTACTTCTCCAGTCATGTGAGGACCCATCCGAAGTGACCTTGTGACTTGAGAGGAAATATCAAATCTGACCACAGTGCTGAGAGCTCGTGAGCATAGGACGCGATAGGTGTGGTGGTGTGATGAGCTCAGCACAAACGGGGATAAAGGCGACTCATTCCTGTTAGTCGTTTTGTGATCGTCTTTGGCCAAACCTCTGAGTTGACTGTGCTCACAACAAAAAAATAGTTTCAAGTCTCCCTCAAGTGTGCTTGACACAAATAACAACTTTTCAGAAGGCAGAGAAGCCAGGAATGCTTGAAAACTCTTGTTTCACAGCCACTTGAGTTTGTGTTGCCAGGTGACTGAACTGAGTCCCTCCTACCAGTCAGACCACACATTCCAGAAGGTCTTTCATCTCCAGCTGGACAAAATACAGAGACCTGGACACAGTCGATAAAGCGGGAAATGTTAACAGAATAAATACTCAAGAAACTGGTTGATAGCAACTGTGTAACACAGCGTTAATTGCTCTGGCACTAGAGTCCACTAACTCTCCCAAAGCCATGTTGTCTCGGATACAGCGTCTCACAAAAGACCCCTAATAAATTAGTTTTACATTCTGCGATATATCTTGTCCACAAAGATAAAAGTGGCAAACAAAGACAAAAACACATGAGGAAAAGCAATAAGTTTACTGAGGATACAAGTACACAGTACACTAAGATCTGCTGGTGTTATTGCTGTTCTTTCTACCCAAAACAAATATCAATGAAGTAATATTTCCTCGAAAATGTGATTTGTCACTAAAGAGATTATATATATATATATATATATATATATATTTTCCTGAGATGATTATTCTCAGTCTGGTTCTCAAATAAACCAAGTAAATACAATGAGCTCTTAAAATCAGCAATGTTGGTCGTATCATTGGCAAATAACGAGGTCAACCTCGAACAAAGAGAGAATCAAGTATAGTTTGGAGGCCTGTCCGAGAGGTGAGGTTTTTATTGTAGTATTTTGGTACTTCCTTAAATCTTCAACCTCATACGGGCCTTTAGTGCAGGCGTCACTGTGAGTTACACCACTGTGTAGGTGTGTAGTGCTCATAGTACGTTAGTGTGTATGTTTGGATGCACGGGAGACGACAGATGCATTTACAGTCTCACTTCCCCCCGCCTCTTAGTTTCATTGTGGTGACACTTGTGATTGTGGAGTCACAGCACAAGTTCAGCACTGGAGGAACCTGCGTGTTTGTGTCACATTTCAGACCAAATATCCCGCTCTTTGGTCGTCTGGTGTCACGGCTGCTCTCCTGACACCCTCGCTGGGCCTCGGGCCGCCGCCACGTTTGGAGACGGAGTGGATCGTTCTCCAGTCTCGTGAGGCGGGAGGTTTGGAGAGCCGAACTCCAGATGAGGAGGAGACCACAGAGGCCGAGGCCTTAGGACTGTCAAACTGCCTACCGGGCTCCATGACTGTGTTAAAGACTGGAGGGGAAAATAACATGGAAAAAGTTTTTCAGCTGATTAATCGGCTTCACAATACAAATGTTTTATGAAGATCATTTATGTCATAATGTTTATAAAGGGTCAGGTTGACTCACCCTCAAGTTGCCGTTGAACCCTCCCAAGTTCTTTCAAGATTGATGCGATTTCCTGAAACACAGATGTCCAAGTTATCTCAAACAATCAACCAGCATTAATTCAACTTGAACATTGACAAACATAAGTCACCAACCTTGTTGGAGGTTTTGATGACAGGAACATCATTGTCAGATTTAACCGTGGCCTCAATCTCTTCCCAGATATCCATCCTGTCCTGGAACATTACCCTGCGTGCAGAATGCCCAAATACACTCGTTAGAACGTTTACTTCTTACTGTTCTCTTTAAACACATTTCTGTGTCTGGAAAACTGAGAGCCGGGTTGTCTTCTGATTGTGGTGACTTAGCAGAACTAAATGTAATCAATGCTAAAATAAATGTTTCTTCTTTATTTTATGTTTTTTTGGATTAAATAAGGGTTGTAAAAAAAAACAAAAAAAACAAAAAAAACAAAAAAAAACTGTGGTTCATCTCACAATGGAAACATTTAAACACCAACTGTTTTATCTGCATCTAATCTGTTCAGAAGATTACATCTCGGTTCCATATTGTCAGTGCTGACTCACTCAGTTACTCTAGTTTAATAAGATTATTGGCTCAGTGGCGTCTGTTTGTCAGACAGGATCAATAGTTTTTGATCAAACGCAGACGAAGCACGGGAATAAAGGATGTTCAAGTAACGCCTTACTTCATTTTTTCAGCAAGTTGCTCAGTGTTTTCTCTGATGGCCATGGTGATCTGTGACACTGGATTCAGCATCAGATTGTCCACAATGACCTGGAGGGGGAAAAAAAACAATACTTTATAATGATCCCCCAGTGCTAGCGTCACAGAGGCTTGTAAAGAAAATTAGACGAAGCGGCATTTGTGCGAGACCTCATCTCTGCTCTGAGCTCGCGGCCTGCTGTTCTGTTCATGGTCACTCTGGTCAGGTTCCCTTGAAGATGTAGAACTTGGTGGGACCCTCTGGTAGTTTAATCCAGCCTCTGGGATATGATGAACCAGCTGCAACACAAACAGACTCAAGTGTTAAGAGTAAAATACAGGAAAGAGACGGATTGTCTCCTTTGGCTGATGTGTTTAACAAGGCACGGAGATAAAACCATGATGTATAGTATAACAATTAAGTGATAAAGATAAAAACGACCATCCTAATTTCATGTTACATAACTGCACCAGATGTGCAAAGCACTGAGAGATACTTCCTCTTTCAACGAAAGAGCAGTTTGTCATGAAGAAGATAAATAATAGTCATCTTCAGTTTTAGTCAGTTGATGAAAGAGATTTGATGCTTCAGTGTGTCGGATAAAGCTTCATGTTTACCTGTTCGTGAGCGGTCACTGTGGAGACGGGCGCACTGCTCTCCACTCCAGGGTTTTGTGGATCACCTTCACCTGCCACGTCATGGATCTCTCTGGCCAAGATAGCTAGGTCTTTAGCCAGGTCTTGACTCAACCTAGCAGGCAAGGGACACGTGTCAGAAAGATGTCTGACAGGAATAAGAATTTGGATTATATTTACATTATTCTGCAGAAAGTGAAATCCTTGATCTCTTTAAGCTATTTATGGAAAATGCAGTAAATAAAATGCTAGATGCTGCACGTGAGAAACCATCTTTAGCGTCAGTTAGGCTACAGTAACACATCAATTTAACATTTGGAGATCATATTAGCATGTCCACCAGAACAGAATTAACTTGTAATATTCCTTACTGTGCAATCTCAGAGCTGTGATTGGACCAACAGTGTAAGGCGTCTCCGTCATGGATCTCCTCTTCAGAATCTCTGCTGCGGGGGTTTGGCCGCAGGGCGACCACCGGCTGAGGCCGCGCAAGATTCCGCGGGCTCTGGGAAGCTGAGGAAGGTTGGGAGCGTTTGTGTTTAGGAGTGCTCTGGTTTGAGTCGTACTCCTCGTCTGAGGTAGAGGTATAGTCAGAGCCTTTGTGTCGTCTCCTGGAGCCTTGGCGTTGTGAATTGGTTTGAGTTATGGAGGATGAGGACAGAGAGAGAGAGACACCATCAAAGAATACAGCCAAGAAAAACACCACCGTGAATATTAGATGTCGTCACCAAAACCCTCCCCAGAACAAGAGACAGAAGAGTTGCTGTGGAAGTGCTCATTTGTTCATTCACAAACTGAAATGAGTACTTGATTTCCGCAGTAAAGCAGCTGAGTACCAGACAAGTATCACATAGCAAAGACTGGGTTGTTTAGCATAAACCATTTGGTACATGGCTAGAATGATAATCCTCATCATGGCCATACAATCCTCATGGATTACCATAAACTGCCCGAGAACACTGTGCAGATGAAGGTAGATCAAAGTGAATATAGAAAGCTCTTGTTCCATGAGGACCCTTTTTTAATTGCTCCTTCCACCTGTGCACTGGCGCCAAAATACCACACAGACGGGCAAAGTGGATTTCAAAGTCAGGAAAATAAAAAACAGCCAGAGTGCTTTTTTTGCGCCGGCCGTTGCGCCACCACATAAAAAAGTAATGTTAGTGTTATTGATGTAAGTGAAAGTCCCCTTCAAAATAACACTTTTGTGGATGAAAACCCAGGTGTTATTTACTGAAACACACAGCATATAAACGGAGTACTGATTGTATCAAACATTCACCACGGTGTTTGATCACTTCCATGCTTCCATTCCAGGCAAAGCACTGTGTTTACTCGCTTTGACTGAGACAGAAGTAAGCGGGTATACCAGTCAAGATATGTTACACTCAATCAAACAAGTTTCTGTATCATACTCACTTGAGGTGCTTCCAGAATATTTGGCACTGCTTGAACGTCCACGAGTGATCGGCGTCTTGTTGACCGGTGCTTTCTGTGGCTTTTCTACAGGCTTCCCCCCCGATGCAGAAGCCCTCCGAACTGAGCTGCCGGTGGACGAGGCCTCGGTGTCGCTGGGTGTGTTGAATGAGCTCGTCCGCTTACGAGGCATCGCCAGCATATCCAGCCTGGAGAGTTTCTTGGTTTCTTGGGGTTGCTGCGCTAGGGCATTGCCCGCCTCCTGGGACAGCCTGTCTGTCTCCGGGCCCTCATTGTCCGAAGCTTCGCCCAGGCGAGCGCGGCGGAGCATGGACGCTCTGGTGGGTCTTGGGGCTGAAAAGCTGCTGGCACGAATCAAGGACTGGGATGCTCTAGAGGTCTTGCCGTCCTCCTTCTGAAGGGGCACTGTGTATTTTCTGCGGGATTGGTGGCTGTTAGATTCCTGGTCAGAGTAAGGGAAGCTCTGAGGGTCGTCGCTTAGGTCTGTGGAGCCACATCTCCCGACACTACGTCTCAATCCAACCGGTCTCCTGACAGACTCCGTCTTATTGTTGCCGTCTTCTCCCTGAGAACGCCGCTTTTCTGATGTTGTGGACCGGGGACTTGGGTCCTGACTAGCTATACTGGCTGAAGACTTCTCCCTATGGAAGCCACTAACAGAGGGGGCTTTAGGCAGTATGTTTGGCCTGGTCTTATTGCTGTGTTGGCTGACTGTGCTGGAGGTATCGACATCAGACTCCGCAGAAAGAGAGTCCATTATCGAAGACGGTGTTTTACCCGATTGTACTGCTTGGAGTTTGGCCTCCAGAACCGCCAGAACATCCTCCGTGTCTTTGAGGTAAGAATGAGTGTCCTGGTTACAGGCTCCCTGGAATGATTCAGGGTCCATGCCTCTCTGAACCTGCAGGCTAGATATGTTGGGCAATCTGGCATTGCTAGGCCGCTCCTTGGTGAAGCTCTCTTGTCTGAATAATGCGGCTACAGTGCCCTCTTTGGACTCTGGGCTCTGTGTAATCTGGCTCAGGAGTGGAGCCGACACACTGGGATTGACCTTTCCAGAGTCCTGGTTACCTCTTGGTTTGGTCAGAGTTGCTGTTGAGAAGGTTTTGATTGCGTGTTGTATTTCATTCTCAGGAGTGCTGGGGTTTGAGCCCCCAAGTTCATGTTGGGACTCAGCCCCCACTGACCCAATGTAGAACGATGTGGACTCGGTTGAGAGTCTGTCCTCATTTTTCCTCGCTTCTCTGTCTGACAGCGGTCTCCTCTTTTGCTCTACGATGGAACCATCATCTGACTTGCTGGCATCACTCAGGCTGTCGGGCTCTACGTCGTCATGCACCGATAACCTGTGAAGGCTATCCTGAGACCTGGGGGAAACCATGCTACTCCCTCCTACATCAAACGTTGACTGCGGGTCATAATGAACATGAATGCTGGGAGTCGGAATGTCACTCTTCTCGCCCAGTGGTAGCTGGGGCAGGACGCGCCGAGCTCTCGAACCATCAGAGTCGGTGCTGTCGTGGTGTCGGCTGAGCGTGGCCTTGTGGATGATTGTACCCCGTGCTGAAGTGAAACAGTTTTAATGCATGTTAACCACACACACTCAAACGGAATATCATTCATATTCATCAGGGCGTCTCATTAAAATTCCAAATAAATTCATGTCTCGTCAGGTGTTATTTACCTCCTGACAGCTCCATCTGGGAAGAGACGTCAAAGAGGCCAGACGAAGGGCCAGATTCTGTGTAGCTGTCTGCCAAGCTGGCCCAGCAAGACATCCACTTAGGAGCCCCCTGTAACACCGCACCTGCTGGCTGGACCTGCACGAGATAACACACAACTCAGTCAATATCTTTACAAAAAAAAAAAAAAAAAAGTGCAGTTTTTAAAATTGTATGATTTTCTTAGTAAACAAAACAAACTAGGTTAATTGTGATAATAAAACATGTATTTTTGTCCTTATATTTGGTTTGAAAGAAAAAACTAAACAATGAAGAACCCAGAACATGTGAGGAAAGATGAGCCGGATCTAGAAGTCAATAGAGAGATACAGCAACAAATAGAAGAAATCCCAAGAAGGCAAATCAAGATACGCTTAAACATTATGGTACACTGACCAAACACATTAATTAACTGTCCTTAGAGTTGGCAATAAAATGATTCCATCCAAACATTGATCACAATCTGAGCAGGAAGGGTTACCTTCACCAGACTCTGTCCCTGTTCTGGAGCTGGCCTCACCTCCCCACTGCTACTCTGCCTATGCTGCTCCCTGCGCTCAACATTAACAGGCCTAAATGCTGCTGATGTTTCTGCTTCACTCTGGTTGGTTCGCTCTGGGCTCTCAAAAACACCAAACACCTGTCAGGAACAAAGCAGTGCAAGTTGATCATTGCAGTAAAGTGGGACTGCCAATGTCCATGACTCATTCTGAGGCCCCAAGACACGGGAGAATGGCAAAGCAGACGAATTTGCTTTCAGCAACATGTTGCCATTATTAGCCAAATTTACACAAGTTAAATGGCGAAAGGAACTTGCCTGGTCTATCTTGCTCCGTGCCTCTTCTAGCTCTTTATCTTGAACATCTGCTTCAATGGTGTAGGTCCCTGCGTCACTCAGACTGTCCTCCTCTTCATTCTTGGGGCCAACATGAGGGATCTTGAACTCCACACCCTGATACGGATCGGGCATCATGGGGGCCTTGAGGGGAACAGGGTGGTGGATAGGAGAGGAAGTCTGTGGCTGGTAGGAAGCTTTAGATGGAGGGGGACTATTCTGGGATGCGACCACTGTCTCCGTCTTAGCTGCTGGAGGGGGACTAGATTTATTTTTCTCCCAGCTGGCAGAGGAGGACTGCTTTGCTTGTTTGAGGAATTCAGCAGTAAATTCCTGGGCGAGTTTGGACCTCCGGCCCACACTGCTAAAGGGTCTTACAGACACAGATGAAGAAGAGCGAGAGGAAAAGCCGGTGCTGAGCCGGTCCTCCGTCTTCTCCCTTCGTAGAGAGCCAGCTCTCTGGAAGCCTGTGGAAGTAGGGCCCTTCAGGGGGACAGTGTACTGTTGAGTTGGAGGAGCGGTGGAGGCTGGAAATGGGACTCGTCTCTCCCCAGTTGGGCTCGAGCCCTTCCTTGCCTTCTCCAGCTGGACCCTTAGGCCCGAGGGCTCAGGTGGAGATGTGTTATTAGTAAAGGACATGGAGCGTTTCTTTCTTAGGTTGTCATCAAAGAATTCAATAACGAAGGCTTGGTGAGGCTCAGCCTTGCTAAGACTGGACAGGGACTGAGATTCCGGCGGAGAGTAGGACAAGGGCTCCTCAGGGTCGGGGGAGGCAAAGCGTTGTGGCGGGGAGGCTCTCAGTGTTTGTGGAGAGTCTTGGTACCCAATCCGAGGTTCTGACTCGAGGAAATCACTTCCATTGATTTCAGGATCCTCTGAATCACTGTGAGTGCCGTCCTCGTGGTGGTTTGCTGGTGATGAAAAGACCACAAGTGAGTTAAGATCTAGCACATTATTGCAATTAAAGCGAGTGTTGGTGAAATTCTACAAGTGACTCACTCTTGGTGATCTTCAGGAGTGACGGGTCACTGTTTGTGCTATACATGTCGTCAGCCTGTGACCTCTTCCTCACCATGCTGGCATTACTCTGGACCAGCCAATCAGCCACTTTGCTTTCTGCCGACATCACCTCAGTGGGCGTGGTGACGGGCTCTGTGGAAGGCAGCTTCTGTTGCTGGCGGAAAGAGAACTTGGTCACGTGGTCCTTGATCTTCATCTTACCTGGCATGCATTCGTCAAATTCGATGGTGAAGGAGGCATGGCTTTGGACCACGGGAGGTGTGGAAGAGACAACCGGAGTGGGATCTGGAGTGTCTTTTGTGGGAACCTCGTGGACCTGCGACTCGGGTTTCTTGGCAGGTCGCTGGTGTAATTCCTTTGTTGGGATCTCAAAGTAGCTGGGCTCCTGGCGGTAGGAGAAGATGGACTTGACTTGATTGTTGGACAGAGAACCGTTGACCTCATATCTGGACACGTCTTTAGCCGACTCTGTTAGAAATTAGGATGGTTCAGGACAGCAAACACACAGATACACAGCAAGCATAAGTGCTGGTAACACATACTACATACTTTGCATGTTTGAGGTTCCTCCTCAAGCTCACAATTACAGCTAAGTAACTCAAACTTCATTGGTACGGCTAAGAAAAGTGATCGTGATGACTGGGATGCCGCTGTCGCACAATCCCTGAAAGGAGGAGCCACAAATAACACAAAAGACTCCAGCAGTTAGACTGAGAAAACAAATGCGCCAGTTGGTCTTTGGGTGCTAGTTCGACACGGCAAAATATCACTTTAGCAGAAGCTTAGAGGGTCATAATACATCACGAGGCAGACAGGCAATGCCCACACTGGCCTGGAGTGGCCTGACTAACAGTCCACAACCAGCGGCCAGAGACCTGCCTTGGGCTTCACACCATCCATCTCCAGTAACCCACAAAGGGCATTAGATAGAAGTGCCGTAGATAAACATGTCCTTTCAAATCAGGATCTAATTCACAGATGCGGGAAGAGCCAACTCAATTATAGTACAGATAACGCTTTAAAAAGATATAAACACTTCAGTACTAACACCATAATGAAGTCTGTAGCTGGCACACGTTAGTCAAAAATAAAAGACACATTCTCTGACCTGGAGACTCCTGTTGTGGCGATTTTCCACCTCTGTTCTTCTTTTTGTTCGCTGCCTCCTCATCCTCCCCCCACCAGGATGGTTGACCATAGAGAGGAGTAGGCTTGGATATCGGAGCATCTGTGGCAGCTAACAGACCAACACACACCATTAGACACATGGATAAACTCAGGAAAGAAGAAAGAGTCACAAAGAACTGAATGTATACACACCTCTTGTATTTATGAGGCCATGAGTTTATGTTAGTCACATGATTAAACAATGTTGTGTCTGAGTTTGGTCCTGCAACAACAAAATGTAGCCTTTGGGCTTTTTTTTTTTTTTTTTTACAATTCACCCACATCCCCATGTCACAGAGAGTTTAGCGAGGGTCCAACTGTGATACAAGCTGCATCGCACAAACCACCAAAACATAATCCTTCTTGTGCGAATCGGGACAAAGCTAATCCTAATCTTCAATGTAAAAAAAAACCCACTATACAATACAAGATCTCGGATAACGACTTTATCTAAAAGTGAGGCTTCTTGTGAGCGGTGACACTCACTGTTAGCATATTAACCTTTGCATAAAACGGAGGGGATGAGGATGATGTCCGCGATGCTGCTTCTGAACTGGTGCTTAGCCGCTGCTTTGCCGGTCCACTCAGTCCAGCCAGCCTATAAGGCACTAATCAGATAATCCAGAAGCAGCTCGCCGGCCTGATACATGGGCTAAACAAGCTCTCTGGGTTTTAATGTGGGAGCTTCACAATTCTAAGCATCAACAGCACTTCACCACTGTTGCCTTGGATACGCACAATAAGACATCAACACAGTGATGAGAGGAGCATGTAACTAATTCCTTTCCCCTTACCCGATCCGCTCCTTTTAGCTAAAGGAAACACGGGTGAGTGTCACAACTAAAGTGGACGGAGCATAGCTCAGTCGTCAGAAAGCAGACCCAGAATAACCTAACAAATAAAAGGTTAGATGAGTTTAATGTTTATACTGAATATGTGGCTCCATGAAAAGTTGTATTTCCTTAATAACTACTAGATTCCGGACAGCGGGAGGACTGGACACACTCCACATCCTGTACAGCTGCATGGGGAAACCAGCAACAGCACACAGACAATAAAGGACAGCATTGTACACAATAAAAACAAATTGAAACATCCAATCCAGAGTAAACCAAAAGAACCAACAAGTTCTCCAATCAAACAAATTCAGCCAAAAGGAATCTATTTGCATGAAGTCAACATAGATAAGCAGGTTTGTGCAGTAATGTAAATGAAAATAGCAGTCAGCTTTTCTTCATGTGTGCGGTTTTGTTCTCCGACTAAGAACTCCTATCCTCATCTTATTGTGACAGTACATTTAGGGAGACAGAGGATGCACAGCGCGAGGCTGCTGTCTGCTGTACTGCATGGCCCCCAGTAAACAGGGCTTCAGTGAGCATGCTGAACAAAGAGCATACAGTCACGGGTTCACAGGATCACTGTAGTCAGCTTATAGCTGCAGGTGATACGACCGCGCTCCCATTACTTACCATTGTTTTAGCTAACAAAATGTTTTCCAAAGTTGTGCAGTTCAATGATTTATCTGTATGGCACTCAGTGGGATATGAGCCCAGTGCTGGAAAAGTCCTATTTTAAGCACCAGTTGTAGTTTTCCCCTCTGAGCTCACATGGGGCGTTTGTGGAACAGAAAGCACGAGAATTGCTAAATCAACAGCAGCTGGAAAGCGTTTTGTCAGTGTGAATGAGCTTCATTCACAAAAACACTTCACTTGAACTAAGAATTGTCTAACTGTTCCACTGTTGCCTCTACTGTACAACTGGATCTACTGGAGTACAGCTCAGGGCAGAGAGGGCATAAAAGCAACTGGAAGCACAAGCAGCAACAAGTCCGCCATCAGCTACATGGACAGAAGTGTCAACCTGCACACCTTTCTAATTCTTCTGCCGCACATGTTAAGCTATAGCTGCCGTGTTTGGCAGCACCCCGCCTCTTCTCAGCCGTCAGGAATGGCTGTGAGAGATAAGACTGCTTGTCCTTAACTCTTCACCCCTGCACTTGTCTGGCAAGCCCTCATTCTGCAACTCCTGTACACTCATTCGGCCAACTCTGGGATGTCGAGATCTACGTCTTTACTGACTTCATAAGGGATTGTGGCCTCGGCCTCTCAGCTCACACGGCAGGCCTAATCTCACACCAGGGGAGCTCTTAATAAAAGACGCAACCGCCGCCTTATCGAGCGATCTACAGCCAAAGTCGTGTAGCACACAGGGAAGCAAAAACGTCCTCACGTGTGTGTGTGTGTGTGTGTGAACAAATCACCTGCTTCTGTTTAAATAAAACCTGCTGCCTTCCTGCTATGTGTGTTACGGTGGAGCATGTGTTGATGTAGTTTACCTGTGAGGGATTGGGCTTTTCGCTCGGCCCTCTCCAGCAGTTTGGAAACAGGAACTTTGCTCTTCTCTGAGCTCTGGAGCTGCTGTTTTTCCTTCGCCTTCGCCTGCAGGGCTTTTATACTAAGATGCAACTGGTTGGTGTACTTCTCATGCTGCACAAAGAGACAGGGGGGGGGGGGGATGTGAGAAAACCTCTGCCAACAATCATTGCAGATGTTTCTAAAAATAAAAGTGCATGTTTCATCACTTAGAAAACCGTGTTCACGCTCTAAAGTTACAATTTTAATCATGCATTAAAATGCCAGATCAATAGGTGATAATTCATTGTAAGTATATGCCTGTTTATGAGCACAGAGCTCATCATGATGACTGACAACTGTTGGCACAGGAAGCTGACCAACTAAGGTCATGCCCACATTACGTCACATGGCCTCTAATGGAAAAGCTGCATATTGTTCAGTTTAGTCCATTTGTTTGTAACCCTTTCTGATCATTAATTGGTTATGTGAAAATTGGAAAAAATAATCAACAGATTAATTGATAATAAAAATAATAGATGAGCACTTCACTTTATCATTAAAGGACCCACAGCAAGTGTATCAGCACTGCTAGACTATATATGTATACAGTGCCAGTAGTACTTACTTTAAGAGCTTCCTCTGGGACCTTGTGTTGACTTCTCTCCAGGATATAAACATGAGCATGTGCAGGAGGAGTTAAAGTACACACACATTGGATAACACATCTATATATACACATATATTCATAGTTTAGTATCTGGTTCTCCAGAAGGACCTGAAGAAAAACATACAGACTACAAATCCTCAACCTAAAGTTTAGAGCATGTGCAGTTAGTGTAAATCTCTTTTACTGAATCTCCTTTCATGCTTTGTTTTCACCCTAACCCCCAAGGAGGTCAAAGGTACGTTCTTCTACTGCAAGGAGGAGGAAAAGAGATAAGCAGTACAGACCTGCTGCACTTCAAATAGCTTCTTTAGCGACCCACTCCTTGAAACGTGCAACAGCGTCTATACGCGTCTATACGCTAAACCAGCCCCATGTTATCTTACCTAAGTCTCACCATTCATGTCTTTCCTGTTGTGGGGGGTCAAAGGGTGCAGGAGATTGACCATAATCTAAAACCCCTGACTGGAAAACCACAGGAGATTAACATGCCGATGGGAGCGAAACGATCGCAGTGGGAAAATGAAACGTCAAAAATGTGTGACTTACATTACATAAATCACACAGCTCCCAAAGTTAAACCAAACACGAGACTAACATTTAAATGAATAAGATAGAAAAAGGATATCATAGCCAAAACGTATGACATCAGAGAGCTTGAGGGTGATGTACGTCTGGTCTGGGATTCTTAGGTCGTTCACAAAAGTCTGCAAAATAAAGAAAAGGAAAACATCACGCTTAAATACCTTTCACTGGTCGTTAATGAGGTAAACGTGTTGACTCACAGGTGACAGGCTCTCTAATTCCTTGTGGCACGCTTCCAGATACTGTAAGGTGCTTTGCAATTGGCCCTTTTCCCATTGAAAGTTAATCCAGAGGCACATTCAAATTGATGAGATTATGCTGTTATGCAATGGCTGTCTCGGATTTTGTAGAATGCTTAATGGCCAGGTGGAAATACACACAACAGTTTCCAGAGTTTATCCTCAGATCACTAACGGTGAAGAATGGACACAGCAACAGCAATGTTGGATTTCAGTTACAGGTCCTTGCGCTGTTCTGCTCTGATTAGTTTGGCTGCAGTTACCAAGGAAAAACAGAAACGCTCTCTGAGAACAATGAACGGTTTCTCTCACTGCTCAACTCTGGATTTCACTGGGATAATGTGGTGCAGTGAAGTGTTAACAGAGCAGTGAAGGGCGAGAGAGAGGGGGGCTGGAGAGAGGGAGATCGAAAGAATGGGAGGAAAAAAAAAGGGGGGGGGGGGATCTAGGCCGGCAAGAAAATCCAGTCTCCTGAGAACCACGGTTCTACCAACTGTCCCCGTCTCCGGCACACAAAGAGGGATTTTGTGCTCTGGTAATTGCCTTCAGGGAGCCCAGAGCTCAGGGTCTCCTCTATCACAGGTAGTCCGACACAAGAGCTGGACTCACTCACCCCGTTCAAGCTGCCCAGGTCCTTCACCATGTGCTCGTCTGTGTTCAGGTCGTAGATGAGCACAGCGTGCTGCTTGTCCACGCTACGAGACTGCAACAAAAGTTAAGCAAAAAGTCGTTAGAGACGAAGTGATCAGTCGATCGATGTTTAAGATATCACTTTGGGTTGTGGGAAACTGTGGGACCGTCTCGACATTCCATGAACTAACCGAGCAAATAATTGGTAGAATATTCCACAAGGACAACAATCATTATTCGTCATTATCACTGCTACACAGAGTCCAATCCCTTGAATACACCACAAACCGGCCGCTGCTGTAGATTACACTAATAGATGGTCCTCATTACCGAACACAAAATTCCTGCGTAGCTCACGTCCGTGACGTGTGCACATGATCTACCAGAGGAGAGATGTGCTTGTATCTGAATATGCTTTCCATCAATTATGGGCAAACTGTAGAAGTGATTCAGGCGGACTCTCTCTTCTCTAATCATGAGGGACTCTGCACCTCCATGTCACATAAACATCACAAAGATTGAGGGTAATCGCCAAACTCATTCACAAAATGACCACCGTCCTTCAAAGGACCATCTGTAGGGCTGAAATTAACTCTTCCACACCACCTACCAACTGGAATAAACAGGTTGGATGTACTGTCTGTGTGGCCTATTCACTCAGTGGACCTGCAAATAACTTAAAGTAACTTAAAGCAAATACTGTACTGAGTATAAATATGATTTTATCAATCACTAAGAAGTCCACGTTCCTACTTCGATGAACCTTTGCCTCTCTTATCGCAGAGAAAATGTTTGCTCCGTAGCTAGGAAACCGTAGCTGCATCACTGGACCAGGCTAAAGAGAGTCACTACTATTATAGGAGGAGTACGGTCTACTTGCTGCTCATGAAGATGCAGACATTGATCCGACACCAGTTGTCACGGGAAAATTCAAACATCAAGTCGAGGCCCTCGGCTGTGCTATGCGATACGACTTCACCGACACTCAATCCCTGGTTTTCACGTCAAACAGGATTCTCACGTTACGGACATTCAACTGTGATTTGAAAGTGAAAAAAAGCATTGAGCTTTAAACAAAAGATTAGGGATTTAAAAGACAATTTGGAGCCTAAACTGACTGTGTGCCAGGGCAGGAAGCCGTCCTGAGCGCTTAAGCTGAGCAACAGAAAAGTCTGCATCATCTCAGACTGGGAGAGGCTGAGGTTGGTTTTCCTTTTTTTTTGGGATCCAGCGACGCCTAAATGTGGACATGAGCAACTTTTCAATCTAACCAACGGTCTGTGGTTGGCCGGGTTTTTTTTCTGAGCACAACGCGCTGACTGAGTAAAGTATAAACAACTGCTTCTGAGGCAGCATTCCTCTTTCGCTGGACGAAATGCAGAGCGAGGAGAAAATGGGAGCGAGAGTATTTTACAAAAAAACACAAAAGAAAATTGGGTTTCTGACAAACAACTGCATGGGAAAAACACAGTGGGAATGCTTTAGCAGCGTTTTAAGTCATTGTTTGAAAGACCGTGTGGAGGCACCGTCGCCAGGTTACACATTCAGAAATGCACACATATGAAGCCTGTCGGGAGCCTCCCACTGCTGTTTCACATCTCTCTGTGACTAGCTGTCAGTGAACAGCAATACAACTCATTGTTGACAGACTAGAATGAAGACCAGTTAGGGGTTCATTTGACATGCTGCTGGTGTTTGCCGTGTAAACACAAACTTCCCCACAATGTCATCTCACACACACGCACACACACACACACACACGCGCACACACACACACACACACACACACACACACACACACACACACACACACACTCTCTTAAACATACAAAGTCACACACCTGCAGCATTAGCTCGCAGTCGTCCCTGCCAACAAAGATCATCTCTTGTGGCAAGCGGTGGCGTGTGCCAGAGCTGCTGACCAGGAACCATGACGTCACACTCATGTTGGGGCCACGGGTCAGGATCGTCTTAGCATCCTGGGAAGAGACAAGCACACACGCACACACACACGCACACACACACACACACACACACACACACACATATATAAAGACTAAATGAAAACATGTTTATTGAATGAGACTCAGGAGGCTTGATCAAAATCCAATACCGGTCGGTGTCCCTGAACGATGTCCTAAATATAACTGCTGTTGTGAAAGCATGCTTCAGTATAGAGATTACTGAGGAGAAGCTATCATTTCACCCAAGTTTGACCTGTTTATCAAACAAAATCCAGTCTGGCTGTGTTACTACTGAGATAATAATGTTTGCCTTTGGGGGGGTGAACCATGTTAGAAGTAGACAGGTTTCCATGCGTCAGTACTCAGCATGTTCACACGACTCACAAAGGCCAGTGTTTCTTCTCTAAATAAAAGCCAGAGCAAGTATTACCTCCTTCAAAAGCAGAGTCTGTTCCGCTGAGCATGCTGGGAAACCTGTTGCTAAGTGGCGTTGGTTGAGTAACGTCATCTAACTGCTCAAAACTTCAGGTGTTTTTTACTTCCTGTAACCTCAGCTAACTAAACATTACTGCCAGATACATATTAGACACGAGTAGTATTAATACCTTGACTACAATCTATGTAATGTGTAATATATGGCAATACTGGTGTTATCTTGAATTAAAAGCTCGGAGTGTTGGAGCCCGTCGGCGAACAGGTTGTTTAGCTAACGTTAGTGAGCATCCGGCTACACAGAAACGAGCCTTTTTCCAATGATTTGATCCCACAAGGACGTCACGTTACCTTTATCGCCTTCTCCGTCTTGCTCCAAAGTGAAGCCAGTGTTTAATGTCCGACAGCAGATGGAATAAGTCGACGACCGACATGTACAACAAAGCGCACCAGGTGAGACTGGACAGGTAACGCTCGCTCACACCCTCTTCTTCTTCTTCCTCTGGGAGTGACAGTCAGGCGAAACTCTCCTCCAACGCCTCTCCTGCCGACCCGGTGACGTCGTGTGACAAGTCCGTCAGACGCTCAGAGGTGGAGGAGGAGTCAGAGCTCTCACTCTGTTGCTTTTCCGGGTGCAGAAAAACTCAACGGCCTCTTGCAGTCTAACATAATTAAATGTTCGTATTATTTAGTACAAGTATTATTTAATATATATATCCATAATAAAAAATACCCTTTTATGTTACGAATTGTTGTGTGAACATACATTACATTTTTTTGTTTGTTTTGAGCATTTATTTTATTTATTGGTTTATTTGATAAGGGACAGTGCACATTAATAAAAACATTGCTGTAAATGAGGCTACTTTTCATCTGTAGTCCCAAGAGGCAGATGTTACAAAGTAAACCTAAAAAGAGAAGATAAGATTAAATTAAAGTTATGCAATATTTACCCTTTCCAAAGCGCGCACAAACAATGAAAGAAGTGAGAATGTAAATATAAGTAGTATCATCATTCAGGAGACTCTTATACATTGTTAAATACTAACAAGACATGCAACACAGAGGCTCTCCAATTCAACACACACAAAGCTAATACAATGAGGGATAACTATGTTAAATAGAAACCTGGACTAAAGACAATATTATGCTGCATTGTTACAATATTATGCTGCATTGTTTTTCTGCAAATTTGTGGTTTAAGTGTTTCGGAAGCAATATAACAAGTATATCCTTTACTAAAGTAAAAGTAGCAATGTCACACTATAAAAGTACTCCGTTACATTTAAATGTCCTGTATTCAATATTTTTACTTAAGTAAAAAAAAAAAGTGTTATAATCAAACTCTACTTAAATAATAAAAAAAAAGATTCAGCAGTCAGTATAGATAATGGTTTATTTCAGAGTGATATATAATAGACATTATCTTACTGGATTATTGTCACTGATGGATTAACATGTAAGCATCATTTTAATGCTGAAGTAGAGGTAGAGTTTAACTACTTTGGATTAATAAATCAACCAGGCAGATATCGGCCGTTATGGCCTTATTTCAGATATACCTGTTTGTGTATATATGTCTGTCAATAAATAACAATACATAGAACTACAGAAATACCAAAATATGTTTGATGTTGTTTGTTCACCTCAGAGAACTGACAAGTTTATTTTTCAACTGTAAAATGTATGTATGTATGTTGGTCACAAATCAAAGTAAAATGGGATCCATATCAAGATTATTTGTTGATGTTATGTATTTATATTTTTTTAGAAATAACTGCTGATATATTGATCAAATATTTAAGGCCCAAATGGGTATCACCTCAGAAATCTAGTATCTGTTGGCCTATACTTTATAGACTATTCAATAGTTTCCCATTTATTAGAGGTTCATCAGATGTTTTGAAAGAAAAAATTTGCATCTGCAAAGTACAACGTGTAAATAAAAGGTAAATATTCAAGTAAAACTCAAGTATATTGAAAGTGTGCTAAACCTACAGGGATTGAGAAAATGTACTTGGTAAATATAAGCCTACTGCATGTAATAAAGTAAACTGTATGTCAACTCCTAGACATCCGTCCTATATCTTTTTTCAAGTGAATATCTTATAAATCTTTATTAATTAATATTACAATATCTGAAAACATCCATTCTAGGGAGATAGGTTTTTTTAAATGTATGCTGTAATATTAAACAAATCCGCGCATGGGAAGCTGCTTTCTATGAGCTCCAGTAGGAATTCATGTAATTTCTTTGAAAAATAAAATTGGATAAAAAGGGCTTAAGGGCCATTTTTGCAGACCGGGTTAGCGTTTTAGCCATCTGGTGAGTCATCGTCAGCATAGACGATTTTTGCCTTTATTCACAGCCACAGCACTTTGTTTATCTTGTGGCTCGCGCTGGCTCGGTGGAGACAACAGAAAGGAAAATATATCGGCTTGAAGTAAAAGAAGATGATTGCTTTGTCCTGTTAACGAGCTAATGTTGAAACTGCACCTGCTGCGTCAGAGAATAGAGTGGATTTGAGATTCAGATCGTGTTGATTTATTATTGTTGTTGAAGTGTGTAGAACAAGTAATATTTACATTAAAATATCATACCCCAAATTAAATTAAATTTGTAGTACGGAGTCTACATAGTTATTTGCTTTTAAATTAGAGTCGAACAAAACCTCTGGTGATTATTTGTAGACATGGAATATTAATCCAACTGAAATACCTTTTACATAAACCCAATTCCCACTAGATGGCGCTGTAGTCCCAATTTAACGTATTGATCTCCAGCGAAATTTTCAATTTTTGCCACAAGATAAATTCAGGATGTTAAGAGCAATTTCAGTGAAGCCACAAAGTCCCGATGTTTCCCTGTAGATATAAACCATCTTCATTCATTCATTATTTCAACCCACACATTTATGTTGCTATCAGTGTGAGTAAAAAGAGGAGAATGATTACCTCCATGTGTTCAAATAATCTTCATACACATAACATGGATTTTATTCTGTTTACGATTCAACTATTATTTATGACTATGTCACTCTAAAAAAGAAGCAGCACCCTTTTTTTAATACAAATTAAAAGGTTACTATACGTTGGGTGTGTTTCCCCCTCCACTTCCCCCTGCTCTTAGTGTTGATATGAAGTGGCTCGTAGTCAACAGGTTAAACCAGTTGCCTGACCTCTGTCTTTCACCAAATCATGACACCACGCTTCACGAAACAGGGTCGTTTTTCACTGAAGACACTTTGACAAATCACAGTAAAGTACGGGTTTAAATAATGAAATGAATGATGGCTGAATTCCATTTAGCTGCTTCAGTGTCAGGGTCCTGGTACAGTGGATGGTGGATGACTGTAACACTGTCATGGCTTACTGCGAGACTTGAATGGAACGGAGACAAAGTTGATGTTATTAGTTACAACTGTTATTGTCCTACTTAGAACAATATGTTACGCCTAGTATTTAGAGTCCATGCTGGTCATAACGACAACTGTGACTTCCTGAAAACCACTGCATCAACCCTGTCCCACACAAGCACATGAGTGTCTAAGCTTTGCCTCCCCCCCTCTCTCTCTCTCCTGGCTGATGGTGCCTCATTCCAGATGTTTAGATCTGGATCTTTGTCCTCCAGGAGATCCAGCCTCTCTCTCTCTCTCTCTCTCTCTCTCTCTCTCTCTCTCTCTCTCTCTCTCTCTGTTTTTTGTTTATCTGTGTGAAGGATGTGCTTGAGGTTTGTCTCTTGTGTGTCCTCTTCCAGATCTGTGGGGGGGTTACTTATCAGAATTGATGGTCTAAGGACAGAGGGTGTGGTATGATGTACAGATTGTAAAGCCCCTTGAGGCCCATTTGTGATATGTGGTATTGGACATTGTAAATAAAATTGACTTGACTTGTCGTGTGTGATCCTCCTGCTTTCATCTCCTTCAGTGTTTTATGTGTTTTGTCATGTTTGTTTGGGTTAGCTGCAGCAGCACAGTGCAGTCAGCAAGTTCAAGCCTCATGCAACTGATCTTGCACTATCACTGCTGAGACATTGAGGTACAACAAATAAATATCTTTTCAGTGGTACATTATAAAGTAGTTTCCAGTGAAATACGTTATACTGAGACTTTGATCAAGTATAAATGGGCTAAATGGCTTTAGTGCATAACATTTTAAATAGAAAATAGACGTTACATCCTCTTGATTTTGAGTTGCAGCTTCAAAAACATATTTGTCTGCCTGCTGCAACTTCTCATTCTTAATTTCTATAGCTTCTAAGAGAAAAGTGTCTTTTACCTGCAATCCTCTCATCACTGTTGTTGTATGAGACACACTTTCTGACATTACATACATTCAGTGTACATCAGTGCCAGCCTCTGCTGGCTCTGTGTCTTTGACATATAGGAGGAAACGTTTTCGTCTGTAGCACAAAGAAGAGCGGAGCTCTGGCTTGCAGGCCGTGTGAGTGACACGTTCCTCATGCAGCACAACACTACACCACCCAGGGGAGGCCCGAGGCGGAGCCGCAGCCCCGGCTCTGCGGTCTGTTTTGGGCTGTGCTGCTCGAGTCAGGTGAGGGATGGTTGTCAGGTGAGCGCCATCACTGGGCCAAAGCCTCGGTCTCGCTGTGTATTGCAGCTGGCCAAAAGACAGACTGTGAGCCCTGGCTGTCAACATCTGCTCCAGAGACTGTACCATCTGCCCGAGGCCCGGGGGGAGCACCTCTCCCTGTCTTAGACCAGCTGCAGAGCCCCAGACGTGGACCTGAGCGGTCCTGCAGAGGCAGAGAACACAGCCAAGACACAGTCAGAGCCGCTGCGTTGCTGGGACATTTGTCTCACACACTTAGCTGTGTTTTATCTGTTGGGGTGCAATCACAGCGAGGTTTAGATGACAACAGCATTCCTATTTACTTACAGAGTAAAGGTGCAGCCCACTGATGGAGCTATCGCAACTCAAAGGAACTCAGAGGTCAGAGATATATATACAATCATAATGGATGTGGTCCATTTTCATGAAACTGAAGTAACCTTTTATGAAAAGTGCAAGATAAAGAAACAATGGAAAAGGACAAGGCATGAAAGAACTGATCAGGTTCAAATAGAAAGACAATGCAGTAGGATGGAAAACAGTGAAAACTGCTCTTCTTTTCTTAAAGACTCCTCTCAACATTTGTATTCCTGTTAATTAGCTGTGGGGACGTCTAGAAAGAATAATCAATATTTCATAATGGGTTGGTTTAGCCAAATCTGTGAGTTATTTCTTAGTTAATTTGTCTTCTAGGTCAGAGCTCAAATATTTCACAATAAAAGTCTGAGAGTCTACACAGCTTTTTGTTAAGACCTTTTATTTCATCAATTTGAAAGAAAACAAGTAAAAACTGTGTACAAAGTTTATATTATTTGTTTACTAAAGCTGGTGTCCTCAGTCTCAGGAATATGGGAGGGCAGGTACAAAAGAAGTTGAAATAAAAAAACAAAAAGTATAAAATGAATTTCCCTATTTTCAGAAGGTGACAGCAAAAAGGGTGAGCGTGCATAGGAATAGGTAATCAGAAACTGAACAAAAGGTTTGCAAATGATTGAAGTGAAAACAATATCATAAAAACCATTACATTCAATAACGTATGATGCAATTTTGATAAATGATTATCTGTCATTAAAAAAAAAAAAAAAAAAATGACTGAGGCGCTTTTGAAAACTTCTTAGTACACTTTGAAACAGGACTTTCAGTTCCCAAGAGTCTCAGTTTAGCCTCAGCTGTCTGTGAAAGGGGAGTAATCATTCACACGAGCAGTTCTGGTTTTATTTGTATCCACAACATTTGAACTTACATTATAAAAAGAAGCTAATTTAGTCTTTTACCAACCATAAAGTAAACAAATAAGATTCCAAATACAATCATTGTGGGGCAGCAAAGTGCATATCATTGGCACAGTTAAAAACTCAATTTAGTCAATGCTGGTCTCATATAAATAACTTGTGAAGGGACAAAAGGGCCTGAAAGTAGCAAATGAAAGATGACTCTTTGTGTGTTTCCCCCCTGAAGCCCGGTATTTTTTGCGAAGTATTCCAAAAGAAGTGTATTATGTTAAAGTGACCTCATTGAGGCTGCAGTGAATGCACCGGGTGGAAAACACCCAATACTGTACTGTACATGGAGGAAAAGCCCGGAGGAGAGAAGAGTTTCTGACGGGTCAGCAAGTGACCGACCCTGATCAGAAGGAAACCAGGAGGTTTGTCTGCAGCACAGCGTCAAGATAGGAAGGCATCAGGAACTAGAAGCACGTACTTCAAGGGGGCTGGAGGAGTTATTTATTACCCTGAACAGGAAACCGGGGCTCTCTCAGTGACTGGTGAGAAAACAGCCACGAGGAATCCACTACAGGACAGCTTTTTAATTTAATGATTAATCACTTTTTTGTGTTTTTTTTTTTTGCATGTCTGCCATCAGACCGTATTGCACAATTGATCCGTCAGACTCATTGTGGTGTAGCATGATAATACAGACAGATTGGTGTCAGTTTTGTATCAGGGTAGTAGAGAAGTGATTTAAAAAAAAAAAAAAAAAAAAACCTCCAGAAGATGGTGTTTCAGTCTTAGCAGAGTCAGCCATGTGTTACAACACGTACGTATGCAGAATGATTGACTTTATTTGATATGGTACATTCACTTTAGAAGCCAAAAATGTCTCAAAGTCTGAATGGTATTTCAATTGTTCAGAAGTCTTAGAGAAGAAAAACATGGATGCATTACCCACTCAACAAACAACACACTCTCTGCTCAAATGATCTTTTTGGTCCACAGTATTCATATTTCTACTTGAAATGGTTGATTCATATTCACTTGTATATTTTCAATACAAAATTCACATCAGTGGCCTAATTTGTGCATAACATAACTACATTTCCCCATTCATTATGGTGTATGGATGCCTGCTCAGTATACAACATAACAACTAGGAGATGCAGGGTAGTGTTAACTCTCTCCGTGGTCAGTCTTCAAAGGCCTCACAGAACAACCACAGGTATCTTTGTTTCGTCTTGAATTTCCTCCTTCCTGGAAAACACAACTTGCAGATTGTGAATGTTACATCCAGCAACGGCATTCAGCAGACAATGCAGGGAGGATGGGGCTGTGGCCCCGGTCTTTTGAGAGTGCAGTCGGGTGGGGTGAGGGGAGATGGTCGCACCAAAGGAATCGCTGAGAGTCCTTTAGGCCGTCCCACTGGCAGAGTAGGAGAACTGGGGGAAGTGGGGTCTCCGCTCGCTGTCGAATGACTCCATACTGTCTTCTGAGGACAAACAAACAACTGATTATTTAATTGTCTAACTCAGGGGTGGGAGATATTACAATACATACTGTGAGACAATATACATTTGTCTCCTGTCAGAGATTATTATTTTATCTATCAATCAATATTGCAGTAAATGCTATGTACTGGGATAAACGATATATAAAGTGGTGTGACTGTGGATTTGAATTACATCACCTACTCCTGGTAGAAGTACATATGAATCTATATTATTTATACTGTGTCGTCTCTGCCTTCACATGCATTTGATGACTTCGTGAGGCATGACACTCGGTTTTAATGGCACTGGCTGTCCAGGAGAGGGGAGGCTCCTCTCAGGGGAGCTGTGTACGCCTGCAGAATGTTTTCTTTTCTCCCATTTATGAACACCTCAAAACTAGCTCAAGCCTCACACCACGAAAGCATTCAAAGGGTCTGTACAGAGGAAAATGCTCACGATAACCTTCATGGCCGAATGAATTTGCTCTCTTATGACCCCGACGGCTTACATTTTAATATAAAACTCAAAATGAAAGGAAACGGGGACATATATTTTAGGGGTTTTCGCATGAAAACTAATTCAGGGACACCGAGTTAGGAACCACTTTTTCAAGGATTAGTCATTTATTAACCCACGGGAATAAAAGTCTGCTTTCATCTCGAGTGAATTGAAAGTGTAATTCCTCATTCTTAATAAAGTCTCACAGGACGTGGAGGGAAATGCATCTTCTCTTGCCCAGTGCTCAGCTCACATCTGCCTTATTATCACACCTAAACACTAAAGCTTCACAATAAGGAATATCTGACTTTGTGTTATAAGTAAAGTGGTGTTAAGTGTGCCGTATGCGTGGGTGCGTATGGTTTGGTGGTACCTTGTCCGGGAGGCGTAATAGTGATGGTCTGTGCTGTGAACTCCTCGTCAAAATATCGAGTGTCCGTCTCCGAGGTAACTTGGGGCTTAAACGGCGGGACCAGCTGTTGGAGAGGAGAAGAGATACAAATATATCGGCACATCAGGGGCGTCAGTCAGTTTGGTAACAGTTGTCCTCCTGAAGGCGGGCGACAGCTTCACTTGAAGTGACGCCGCGTTATTGATCCCCGGGGGACGTGATGTTGTTCTGAGCTTGGTGTCCTTTCAGCGATGTCAATTTCAAGAGAATGAGGTTGAAACAAAGCAACTGACCTTCTTCTCATACACGTCTTGCCATTCTATTCCTGCGAAGAACTTGTGCTGCATGATTTCCTTGGCATCGTCCGGCCCTCCACCTAACCTGGAAGACGAGTACCAAAGGACGAGTCAGGATGTGAAGCCGCTGATCGTTTCATTGCTACCTCTAATACTATTCTATTTATTTTATCATAAAGCTTAAAGCTCACATCAGCAATACATTTTTGAATCATAAACATGGATGTACTGGATGCAGTAGAGGCCCAGTTACCTCTGCATTGGTTCCTTCTTAAGAAGGCCGGAGAGCAGCGAGCGGGCCTCGGGGCCGAGAGTCCGAGGGAAGCGGATGTCTTCCATGAGGATGAGCTCGAACAGCTTCTCGTGGTCCTGGTTGTAGAAAGGCAGTCTGCCGCACATCATCTCGTACATCACCACCCCCAGACCCCACCAGTCCACAGCACGGCCGTAGTCGTTGTCTTCTAGCACCTTGGGGATGAAGAGGGGCGTAAAAGTTTATTTAATGCAGCTGTCGGGATGCTCATGAGCCATTTTAACTACCTGGGGAGGGGTTGTAGTACGTAGGGATTATATTTCTTTATAAAACAACACTACTGTCTTTTAATACAGTAAAGGAATATAGATTTGATCTTCCCTTTTCACAGAATATTTGTACAATAAGCTAAAGAAAATGTTTAGCTGGTATGGCTTTGAGGTGACAGTTTACGGTTGCGTTTGGACGTCAGAAGGCTGTGAAGACAGCAGCTCTTTAGGCTGAATATACCGACCCTAAAGCAACTGTCCCCCATCACCCCACCCCCACTAAAGTCACCTGCTCCCCCCCCCCCCTGGCCTGGTCTTTTGAGGCAGCCCCAGCCAGCACTGACTCACAGCTCACATTAGGAGCATGGCTAGAGTTTCCCCTGGAGCCCTGCATATTTAATCACCACAGGACCTTCCACACAAACACACCTACAAATCAACAAGCAGCAGAGGTGTGGGTCGCTTAAATAAGCAAACGTGTGGCAACAAACACAGACCAGTCCTATGAAACAAACCGTTCAATGAGCACAACCAGAGTCCACCCAGAGACAGGGAAATATTTAGTCCCATTATTTCCATAGGATGACTTTTCACGACAGTTCTTAATGAGACAAAAATCCTCCAGTGTTGTGCTCACTGAACAGCGCAACCTGTTGCATGACTAATGTGCTGCTGAGCGGAGTTGTTCCAAGGTCTCCGGGGACATGTACTGGATTATACCTCGCCAGGCGGATGTTGAAGGTGAAATCAAGACAAGGAGAACAGTCTGTTCTCTTAAACCTTCGAGCAGCGTGATGCTGGCCGATTCAGACCTAAGAATAGAAACTTCGGTAAAAAGACGTGGGCGGATTAATATAATTAGATATGGACACAACAGCGCACAGGCCAAGAGAGAGGGTCCTGGAAAACAGATGGATGGATGTGTCCGTAAAAGGAACAAAACTACTGCGTGTGTGTGCCGCGCATGTGGCAGTGGGCACTCCGCCGGGCGCTGCGGTGAGCGGCGAGCATCGAGGAGGAGGATTGGGAGGGCAGGGGGAGTAACGTGAAGCCGGTGCGGGGCTAGGATTACTGGGCCGTCTCTATTTCCAGCGCCGCTGTCGTGTGATTCACACCGTGCGACAGCTGGGCCCGCAGCTGCCCCATATATGTAGAAGAGCACCACAGCTGTGAAGCTGCCAGGAGTGCAGGAGCCAAGCTCATCCCTCATATACGTAACCAGGACTGCCTGCCTGCTTGGGCCCCAGCCCCAATCTAATACTGTTACACCGCCCCAAAGGAGCACAGACGGGGGGAGGAGAGAGCGGATAAAAGCACCAACACTTGCTGCTCTCTGAACCTCTCCTCTGTACACTTTTTACGCTCACAAAGTTCCTCACTGACGGCCATTAATCTTCCAAGACTGTGAATCCAGATCAGCTTCAGTGGCTGGATTAAACCTGTCCACATTGTTCTTTGTAGATATTCCCTGAAAGCCAATTCCCTCCGCCAATAACGGTTTTGTTCTTGTAACTACTTAATAAAAGTGGCAAAGTGAGTTTGTACCACTCTTTACTCCAGAGACAGACTGGTCTCTTCCCCCCCCCCCCGCGCTCTGGGTGGAATATTCCCAGACGTTACAGCATTCCTGTGCAGCACACACAACAAGGTCATTGTTTACTGCAGAACAACCTGTAACACTGCCCGCCCCGCACTCCATGGAGACACTCGCCAGCGACCCTGTTGCCATGGCAACCCCCCCCCCCCCCCGATGTCTCCCTGCTCTCCGCTGCCGGAGCCATCACAGACTGAGCTACCCCCGTGGAGGAGCGAAGAGGGCCAGACAGAGTTTAGGATGGACGGAGTGGGGAAAACTCTATAAATAGGTTTATAGCAGGTATAGAAAATAAACATTTTCTTTTACATTTGTCCCGGTGTGAAGGAGTAAACATTCACACGCTGGCCCAGCCCTTTGCCTTGATGAAAATAACAGCTATATGTTCCTATGAGGCCGTCTGAAGCATTGTGGGATAGCTCCGGCTCTGTCCGGGTCAAGCGAGGCATCCAGGGCAGCAGTGGTGCTGTGGCTCCGCTGGTGACACACAACAGCTGTAGCCGATGTGATCTTTTTTTTTTTTCCCCTCCAGGGTGGAAGCTCACATTTCCTGAGGCGCTGCCAGCCAATCACCCCCCCCTGCACTCCCCCAACCAGAAAATTCCAATTGAAGGCTAAAAACAACGATACGGCAACTGTGTCAACATGGACACCCCTCTCCCAGAAAACATTTTTACGGCAACAGGCAAGGGGGCTATAGCGCAAACACTCATGTACACACACACACACACACACACACACACACACACACACACAATGCAATATCGGGTTACACAGCCTACTCCAACACTTGTCATACCTGCACGGAATAGGGAGTAGCCACACCCCTCCCCATACAGCAAATATGAGAGCAGGCTGCCCTGCCCTGGGCACACGGCACACTCATTAACTCTCAGAGATTAGAAAGGCATTTTTGGGACAGCTGCCCTATCTTCCACATGCTTCTCATCCACTGATACCCAACAACACACGGCACATTTTTGTCCAGAATCTACTCAAAATGATCCCAGGTTGTTTTTGTTGATTAAGTGACATTATAGCCGGGTAGGGAGTGAAACATATCGAATGCACATGCTTCCTTGAAGGACACAAATGGTCACTGAATGGTTTGATCTTTTTCAATCTAAAGTCCTACGTAAGACAGCGCCGTCCTCGTCGTAGTGTTCATCCCACCATAGGGATTCAGAGACTTTGAAGTTTTCTTCTGGCAGCTCGAAAGTGACCTGAAAGGTTACTTCATGTTTGTTTTTCCTTTAATTTGTCATCCATCTGTATGTGCCAACATAAAAATCGCTTTGTTGCAAGAAAGTTGTGACTTCAATATTTCAGGTAGACTGAATCCCTGTAGTGGTTACCTCAGGCGCCAGGTACTCTGGCGTCCCGCAGAAGGTTTTCATGGTGGCGCCATCTGTGATCCCCTCCTTACACAGGCCAAAATCTGTGATCTTTATGTGTCCATCTTTGTCCAGCATAAGGTTTTCCAGCTGAGGGAGAAATAGAAATAAGACAGATGTTGGCATCATCGTAAAATGACTCACTGTTTAGGTTAACAAGCAAGGAGGGAGGAGACGGGAATAGTATTTCATAAATGTACAAAAAGGACGTGCATCTGTGTTAGTTATGGTTCCACTAAAATATTCTAAAAGTATTGAGTGAATTTCTGAAATTTTGGCAAAATAAAAATCTCAATCAGGGCCTGTTTCCAAGAACTACCTTTATGCAAAGTTAAAGCCAGTAACTTTGATGACATTTCCTTGCTGCCTACCACTCATGTTATCAGTTATGTCATCCCTCTTTTTGTTTAAATTAATGAATCAATCTGCTGCTATGGTGATACAAAGAGGTAAAGTGTTGAAGGGGCCCCCCTATCTTGAACTGAATCAGCAACGTTGTGGTAACCCTCTACACCAAAGTTCCTTATATCCGTATATTTATGGGCTGTCTAGTGAAGCGGAGGCACGTAATGATGAATGGCAGCATGTCATGAACGCTTTTTTTACAGTAGAATAAACTGATGGAATCATAATGACAAAGGTTTCTATCAGCTTTTATTGTATCTTCTCTATTTTCAACATGCCAGCTTTTTCAACCCAGTATAAAGTAGTATAAAAACTTTTCTGTGAAAATTGGGTTAATGGTAACATACCATATATTGTTTGTGATCACATGTTCAAGTAAAGTGACTAATTGTGCATCATGCAGCGTCATGACTTGAGGCTGTGTGGCCTTTAAATATTATGTCCTCCCTCTCTCTCTCTCAGTTAAAGTCACCTGGCAGCTGTAGCTCACACGTGGCCAGCAGCGCCGGGCCAGAGTCAGCACATCCTCCAATCCTGCTACCCTGGCACTTTCAGGAGAACCCAAGCAGGCTGGGTGCCTGCCTCATAAACCCGAGGGAGAGGGAGGGAGGGAGGGAGGGAGGGAGAGAGTGCTGTGCTGACCTGGCTGCTATAGCTTTATCAGTTGGAAGTAGTAGGGCTAGATGTGTCCACTGCAACACCGATAAACCCCCCCCCACAGCCCTCCTGAACCCAATCCATCTCTGGTCCAGTCTTTAGACTTTTGCGTAGCTTTTAAACACCGGTATTAAAGCATCTTTACTTGAGGATGATGGACATTTACTCTTTGTTATTTAATAGTGCTGTACTGCCAGCATATCAAATGACATCAACTACGCATAAAGTGCACAAAAATCACTCTCTGTAAGAACAGAGTGCGCATGCTAAAACGAGAGGCGGTGGCAGTGTGTTCAAAGAGGAATGGTGGTTATTTCTGTCTAGCTGCAGTAAGCGTATGGACCGAGCCTCCCTCCAGCTGCAGTGAGGTCTGGAGACTGATCCGGGGGGGGGCAGATCAATAAACCCTGGCCACTGCCACTGCTCTCGATGGAGGAAAGCCCTATAAATATCCTGCCAGGGGAGAAATGGAGGAAAGGGGGGGGGAGGAGAAAGACAGAAGAGAGGCTGACCGCGAGGATGAGAGAAAGTGAAGACTAGTGTCCACATCTACCTTTAGATCTCGATAGACCACGTTTCTTTCAGCGTGCAGGTAGTCCAGCGCAGACACTATCTCTGCACCGTAGAATCGGGCCCGCTCTTCTGAGAATACACGGTCCCTCGACAGATGGAAGAAAAGCTGAGGGGAAGCAGGGGAACATTGACAGTGAGGAGGCAGAGGACAGAGGAAGAGAAAGTTGTTTAGAACACCGAAAATAGTAACAGTTCAAAAGAATTCTGATTCAGGTGCAGATTTTGCGACGGTTAAAAATAATTTACCTCGCCCCCGTTTGCATACTCCATGACAAAGCACAAGCGGTCATGTGTCTGGAAGGAGTATTTCAGTCCCTGCAGACAGAGAACGAGAACACTCAAAGCAGAACTTGGTGATGTTTCCAGTGAATTCAAGAGGAAGCTGACATTTAAACAGCCGGTTGTTACATGAAACATCACAATGCATGTTGCAGCTATGACCCTTCAGTTACTGTACATTTTTAAAACACAAATGTCAAGTGAAAAAAAAAAAAAACTGCAGCAAAGCGTATCCAGTGATTTGAGCCTTTTCAACAACTGTTGTGTGGCAAACATTGGTCCCATTCATTGCACTGAGCACATCGCATTATGTGTTGCCTCCACCAACCACTTAGACCTCACATTTTGGGGGAGCTTTTCACTACAACCCACCTCAGACTTACAGAGGAAAAGTTCGCGGATAAAAAGAAAGAGAAAGAACGTCCAGTGTTGCTTTAAAAAGGCCCAGCTCGACTGCAGCCTTTGTAAGAGCGGCTCTTCAAAACATTCCTGGTAAAACTGCCCCTTTTTTTTCTGAATGGATGCTGCTGTGTTGGATTGAAGAGGCTCCAGAGGATCTCTGCGAGTTAAAATAAGGTTTGGTTTAGGTATATGGAGGGGCTCCTTACTGTCAAGAACGGATGCTTTGAATTCTGGAGAACTCTGTTCTCCGTGAGTGTGTGCGCCACTTCATCCTGAAAAAAAAAAAAAGCCACAAAGAGTGTTTGTGCAACTCTCACAATGGCTACCCATTTAGGTATCAAGTCATTGCTCCACTGCCCTCCCCTTAGCGTCCCCCCCCCCCCCCCCTTTTACATCCACTCACTTTTGCTACGATCACCTCCTTCTTCAGGATCTTCATGGCGTAGTAGCGTCCTGTGGCCTTCTCCTTTACCAGGATAACTTTGCCAAAAGTGCCTTTTCCCAGGAGTTTGAGGTATTCAAAGTCGTGCATAGTCTGTAGAGCCAGGGGAGAGAGAGTGGCATCTGGTTACACGCAGAAGCATTCACAAAAAAACTCTTAACTAGCCAGGGCACACAAATCCCACTGACAACGACACAGAAGCATTTAAGGCACTATTTCACCCACCATGCAATTTCCACTCCTCTAATGCTTTGGCCTATATGTGGTTGTGTCTCAGTTAACCTCTGACCCCGGTACTAAGGAGAATGCTGAAAATGGTTATGTGAGGGACATCCAATCCGGTAGCCTTGGACCTTCATGTCATGACACATGTGGGGGTTGTGAAACCTGGAGGACACACTATCTGGTGCTAAGCCACCCACGGCTGATGTTGGGAGAGGCGAAGGAAGGTGGGCTTAAGTGGTGTAAGTGCAAATAAGGAGAATAGTAATGGTCAACTTGGACCGGACTCAGGATCGGGAAGAATAACAAGGTGGTTGACTTAAATGTTTATGGTAATGGACACTACGGTTCGTCAATGTGTGGACAGCGGAGAGAAGCAGATACACAGCAGAGCGAAGTGGCCATACCACTTTCTGTCTAGGTTTGGTCAGGTAGACCTCCATGTCCATGGGGTCCGGAGAGGAGTCCATCATCTCCTCCTCTTGTTTCTGCAGGCCTTCAGCCACTGCTTGGATGGCCTTAGTCCATTCTTCCCTGAGGGAGGCACAGGCAGCAGAGAGATTACATCAGCCCACTTACCATCATGCAAGCCCAGCAGCCCAATCATGTAATTGTCTTCTTATCAACAGGAAGGCAATTTCAAGTGTGAGTTCTGCCAATAGCCAGCGGACCGTACGCACGTGCATAACAAGATTAAATGTGTATGTTTGGGAGTGCTTCGACATGTTAGAAAAAAAACAGAGCTGTTAAACTGCTTTCTAGCAACAGGGGCAAATTCTCTGCATGTAAATGATTTGTGTTTTACTGCTCCGTGAGCTGAGATGCGTGTGTGCTTCTCGCTTGCCTCTCCTCGGGGGTCTCCACGTGGAAGGTGCGCTCGATGACAGTGGTCCACTGCAGGCAGCGGATGATAAATGTGTTGGGCTTGGGCCGTTCCGTCTTCATCAGCTGGCACTCTGACCACAGCCAGGGAGGGAGGGAGGGAGGGGAAGGAGTTGGCGAGAAGGGCCAGTGTGTAGGGGAGCAGAGGGGAGAGACAGACCCACAGTTATAGCCATTTATCTTTATCGCCACCTGAACAGACACTGTCGGCCAATTTGCAAAAGAACAGGTGCATTGTGGTGGAGGAAAACAACCGTTAAAACTTTGCTACTACAGGTTTTGACTATAATTTGGAATCTGTGTAGTAGAACGTAAAATCTAGAACTCCCGAGAATGAATGAATATATCAATAAATACAAATTCTAATATAATTCTGCAATTAAACACTTTTTTTTTTACAAATACATACAGTGTTTAAGGATTTATGAATATATTTTTTATTGGTCGAGCTAATTTGTATATACATATATTTTCATTATTGATTTATATCCCAGAACCCACGGTGACGTCTACAGAGTGTTTGTTTTCTCCAAACACAAAGATATTAAATTGAGAGTGAACAGTGGAAGGGAGCGTGTCATATTGGCGAGATACATTTGACTTATTCTCATAAAGGATTTATTAAAAAGCACATCTTCACATCCTTTCCCTACGTTACGCTCAATTCTCACACTTTTGCAGCAAAGTAATTGTCTGGTAAGCGGTTTGCAAAAACAATTACTCACAAACGTCTATTAACTGAATTTAGAAGGCAGAGATTTCCATCTGCACCTCCTTCAAATCAACATCTGTTCCCAAATGAAACATGTCAGCAAATATGTCAGAACGTGACACAAAATGGCCTCTGTCTGATAGATGGAGGACAGGGGAGTGGACCACCACTGAGATCCAACATGGCTCCATCAGGCTGAATATGTAATCCAGCTGCAGCCGCCCCGTCAGCAGCGGCGCACCATGTGTCCTCCGTGTTGGGGTCGTGACAGCGGTGACAAAAACAAAAAAAAGCCGCTGATGGAGACAGAGCCTCAGAGCGGCACCCAGATAAATAGTTGAAATCAGGCGGCTAATAGCCACGATAACTCAAGAGTGTCGGAGAGGAAACATTTTGTTAAACAAACAGTATGCTGTCTAATTGCTGTGTTCAGTCATCTGCACAGCTTATCACAGCAACTTTCTCTGATGTGAGGATGGAGCGGGCTGGGCTGCTCTGGGCATTGCATTTTCTGTCACAGTATAAAAACAGAGTTTGGGGGGGCAACACACACACACACACACACACACACACACACACACACACACACACACACACAAAATGGCATCTGATATATTACCTTAAGGAGCCAGACATCTTGCATGCACGTTCAGTCACAAAGCTTGCTTTGCCCTGTAGCAGTGCTCTTGTTGAAAGAAACTAGCAGTGAATCTGTTGAGATGAGACTACAGCCAATTTGCTAATGTCTCTATTCATAATCATTTACATGATGACATGCGATGATGAAGGTATATCCGCTTGTAATATTAGAGAGGCCTCACTTTCATACTGTGACCTCACAGGCACTTGGGTATGCATTGATAAACATTTGTTTTCCTGTTAATAATCACTTTGCAGGGTGGAGAATCCAGATACACCAAAACAAGTCTGAACAGATCTGTTACAATAATGCAAGAAAAGAAACAAGAGAGCAGAAACAGAAGCTGCCAAGGGACGGGGGGGGGGGGGGCAATGGTTTCTCTGAAGTAGATACTCACGTGCGACAGAGAAGTTATTTAAGGGGGTTTCCAGCTGGTCGACATCTTGCGGCCGCTCTTTGTAGCCGATGAATGTACCGTCGCTCTTCAGGAGAAAATACCTTGGCCTCCAGGTTTTGATGTATTCTCCTGATATGAGAAAGAGATTGAAAAGCACAGTTGAGTTACTGTACAGGAGACTAAAAAACACTCTTCAGAGGGCTTCTGCTCACAGACAAACCTTAAATGAGAAACATCACATGCTTTTCACATTCCAAAAAAAAGCTGACTAATGCACAACCCTTTTGTTTACATTGTGGTTTCATGATTAATGACGAAATAGCGTCGTCCTCTCTCTTTCTGTTTTAATTCCCAGAGGTGCAACCCATTTCCTGCAATCTAATTACTGCGTTGTTCACTAGTGCTCCCTGAAACGACCACCTTGTCCCCGTCTCTCACCGAGTGTAGGTCATCTGCGGGACAAATGGTGGTTTTAGTAGGAGTCAGGACCCTCTCCCCCGCCCCGTCTGTCCCCTTTTCAGCACTCACTTGCTAATGTAGACTCCAAGTGAAAATTCAAACTGTCCAAAAACTCTCTGTCCTCCTACCATTTCCACGCACTAGCAAGTTAAATTTAGGCTCTCAGCTATGTTCAAAACAAAGTTATCTGTCTACTATAGACAAAAAATAAATAAATTTTTTAAAAAAATAAAAAATGAACTTATAGTTAATATACCGTATACTTCAGAGTACTCCGCCAATTTATCACTGCACTCCTAGAACACTGTTGGACAAGAAGTATCGGCAAAACCAGAGATGTCTTTTTATTCCACACATTCTTCTTGTTGAAGCCTGGCACCTACATTACCCACAATGCAACTTAACGGTTAACAGTTCATAGCATAGCCTCATTCTGCAGGCCTAAAGAAGATATGGGGAGCGAGCGACAACTCCAGAGAACACCCAGATTTTTAACATTTTCTAAAATTTGCAGCCATCAGCCCAAACCACCACTAACTCAAGTTACATCAATTGATGCAATCTATCAAATTCAGCGTAGCTAAAGAATCGGTGGAGTTCTCCTTTACATTTAGGGTATCTGTATTCAGGTTAATGGTTTTTATAAACCGCAACCACTCTTTTTCAACACTTATTTTTGTAACACCAGCGTCACGTTTACCAAAGCCTCAATTTGATTTTCAAATAAAAACTTTCCACAATTCCAATTTTCTGGACAACACCCAGAACTCCAGGCCATGCGCGTGCGTCCCGCTCACTCAGACACACTAGCATCACACAAATGAATCTCTCGTAGGCAGACAAAACTCAATTTAATCCGGTATGCTTCAGGGAATGTTGCGCCAGATGTTGTGCAGACGAGGGAAAAAAATAGCTTGCATACCATAACAAGGCAGCGGCACACAGTGGAGGGACTTTAATATTTATACAGGAAAAAGTGTAATTTATTTTTAATTACGGAGCCGCATATTAACCCCATGCAGAGCAGTAGCAAGCTGTCCTTAATTGCCCCATTTCCTCTAACACAGAAGTGTGGCGTGTGTGTGGGTGTGAGTGTGTCTGTAGGGGGGGGGAGGCAGGAGATCTGTCAATATGAGCTTCTGTTACCATCCTTCAAACCCACACCTCTGACTGATGAAACCGATAACACGTTAGTCCGAGACAGTGCAGACCAAAAACAGCAGCTAGTAATGTCTCCGCTGTTTAGCGTCATTCTGATAAAATATTTAGGGAGAGGACAATCATTCACAACACCGGCTGAATGTTACTTTAAGATTTGTAACTTTGGACACCCTCAAAATGATGAACTTCCTCTTCCTGCTTCTTTTCTACATTAGCAACAACCTCTAATAAGACCAGGGCTGCAAATTCCCCCAATATTCAAGAGGGAAGAGGAACACAGGAATTTATGGGCATTAAAGTGTAATACAAAATAAAAAAAAGTTCGATTCAATCGTCAAGAACATACTGTTCATAAAAAAATTTGACCTCACCTTTTAACCCATCATAAGCACTTAGGAGCAGTGGTCGGCTATAAAGCACCCGGGGAGCATGCATATAGTATGAACCTCGTGGTTAAAGGATGTCCCGCTCTACCCACTGAGCCAAAGCTGCCATAATGTGGAATAAAATGGAAATATATACAGTATATATAAATATAATAACACTGAGGATCTTTAGACTGAACCAACAAAGTGAAAAGTTATCTGTTAAACTTCCTTTGGAAATTTTCCAGAAACTTTCTGGAGCCTTTGCAAACCTAAATAGGACATTTTCCATATTGTTTTTCCTCCGTCAGCATTAAAGGTGAGCGGGACAGGAAAAGGACACTTTAGAGTCATTAGTTGACCTCATACAGCAGGATGAGGCCTTGTAACGCAGTCTTTGCATCACCTTCCAGCCGAGCATTGAGCCATTTACCCCCAAAGCAAACATCCAAGTATAAGAACACCTGATTTACTACCACTGGCAAACTGGTGGGACCAATCACAACAGTGGGGGAAACATCTGCCCCAGAGCACAATATACTGAAGTCTACAATCCACAGCAGATGTTCAATATGTCATCACATTTTTCATCATGGCACAGGAGCACGTTTATTTTACTGCAGAGTAAGTATTTTTACACCAAACATAGCTCATTTAGAAATTAGCTCGAGTCATTCTTGCTGCCTTCCAACAAAAGCCACTCGTACTGGATGCGCCGGAATCAGTTTAGTGGATTTCCCTCATGCCCGTTTCAATGCAAACACAATTACCGTGATGAGTCGTTTGTCCGTTTCAAACTACAAGCCGCACCAATCAACTTCCACATCAGTCACCCACGTCACGTGCAAGCTGGCCTCCAGAGAATCCACATGCGTAGCGTTATTTATCATAGGCCTTCAAGGCAACCAGACTCCCTTACTTCAGCATAAAATCTAAATAATTAAAGCACAGAAAAAAGGTGCCATGTAGGAGTATATGTGGCCATACAAGCATGAGCCGTGACTTGAAGCAAGAGGCTGTTCCACACGAACACAAGTTGCCTAAATCTTTTACACTGCAGCCAGAAAGTCTCCTGAGCCTTCCATACCGATCCTTGTTTTCCTCAGCTGGGCCCCAGCTGGTGCCTCGTTCTGTGGTCAGGTTTTGGCTGACCCACATCCCCCAGCTATAGTCCCTGCCAGCCCACAGCGAGGACAGTATGTGCACAATGCAGAGGCCGAATAATCAGCCTCCTACCTGACACCAGACGACCAAAAAAAAAAAAAAAAAAAAAAAAAGAAAAAAAAAAAAAAGAAAAGTGCATGCTTGTCTTGCATGTGGAGACTAAACATTCAGTGTAGAAGTTGTAGTTTGGCAGCAGGAATGCAGCTAATCCCTTCCAGAATGAGTAAAGACCTTTTATACATTATAGTCCTCAGATACCTGCTGGGTAGAGACAGGTGTTTGTGTGTAAATACATTTGTTGCTGTGTACACTGCCCTGTGAGCAGTGAGTGAAAGGTATTTGTGTGTTAAAAGATTACAACAACATCCAGTTTTTGGAAGGCTGAGAGCTTTTCCTGCCAGATCCGCTGACGCACAGCACCCACCAGCAGTAGCCTGGGTGGGCATCCGTGACGCAGCAGGGCACGGCACGGCGTGTGTCAGCTGGCTAGACATTCTCCGTCGCTGAGGTGGCCTCGGTCACATGGCTGTCGGGAAGACGGCGATGCCAGCTCACCGCTCTGTCACTCGACTCTTCAAACAACTGTCACTTTCTTGAATCGTGGAACTGTAATATGAAGGACATGACAGGTCTGCATGGTCACTGGGGCGAGGCCACACAACGCGCACTAAGAGGAAAACAAGCTTGTGAAGGAACGTGACACTCCAGGTCTGAACCCTTCCTGAGATTAATGACAGCTACTGTGAGACTGTAACTGCTAAAACTCTTCAATCACTTTTCCTGGGTGGATGTAGATAAAAGGAAAATGTTTGTGAGGCTTTTGTCATCACTTAATACACTAACACACATCTTTCACAAAGACTGACACAGAGATGCGAGACCAAGAAATTAAGTATCTCCACATCTGCAATGCACATCCTTCACGCTCTTTCTAGACAGGACTTCCTCGTCTGTGACCACAAACCTGGTCACATGACAACAGTGGAAGCAGCTATACCCGGTTGTGTGTGTGTGTGTGTGTGTGTCTCCACCACATTGCAGCACAACGCCTCACACACAGTCTGCGCTCAGAGCGTAAACAACAAAGATGACCCTTGTCAGCTTCCTATTTACACCCATTTCCCCTTTTATTCAGTTCTACTTTCCACACTGTGGCCTTTCTTACGCACCGACATGACGAGAAAGTGAAAACGACAGCTGTTAGGACAGTAAATGTGGATTATATTAAAACTGTAATATACACCAGCAAATAAATCGACCCGCATCCCTGCTTTCAATATTTGATATGACTCGACTTCAGTGTTTTTTGCAGAGTAGACCCCAAACACATCCTGTGTACAGTGAGACACACAGTGCAGACTGCTGACAAAAGACAATGGGACTCATAACACTGGAGGGCCTTCTGCTTTTAAGTCAGTTCATCATCACTGATGTACACCAAACCCTTTTGATGTCAACACGTTCTTGAAAACAGGAAACCGGCCAACAGGCAGACTGACCACAACCTAGATAAGATAAAACCTCCTTCCGAGTGTCCGGTTTCACCGTAGCTGCCGAGACGCACTTTGCTGTGAGGAAATCCACTGACGATCTGCGTCCCAGAATCAAAGCTTTGCTAATAAAAGTCAAGTGTGACAGCAGACATGTGGCTGAACTCAATCAAATTAGGGGGGAGGAGTTGACACCAGACGAGAGAACTAGAGGGGATGAAAAAAAAAAAAGCAAAAAAAAAAGCAACGCAGTGCGCAAAGAGTGGTAGTGAGACAGATCACTACATATGTTCCCCACATATGCAGGACTGTGAGCTCAAGTGAAGTGTGTATGAGCCATGCGTACTGTCGGTGTGTGCATGTGTGTGCATGGGAGGAGCTGTCAGGGCCTGATAGAGTGTCTTTACATGACAAGCAGCTGCTGAGGTCTGGGATGCGCGCTGGGCAAAGTGGAAAATAATGAACGGAGAACCGCTGCCAAACAGAACAG